ACAAAGTTTTTTTAAAATTAAGATATGTACTTTAAAAAAATTTTTTTTAAGATTTTATTTATTTGAGAGAAAGAATGAGATAGAGAGAGAGCATGAGAGGGGGGAGGGTCCGAGGGAGAAGCAGACTCCCTGCTGAGCAGGGAGTCCGATGCCGGACTCGATCCGGGACTCCAGGATCATGACCTGAGCCGAAGGCAGTCGCTTAACCAACTGAGCCACTCAGGCGCCCTAAGGTATGTACTTTTAAAGGCATAAGCCTGGATGGCTCAGTTGGTTAAGCGTCCAACTCTTGATCTCAGGGTCATAAGCTCAAGCCCTGTGTTGGGCTCCACATTGCGCATGAAGCCTACTTATAAACAAACAAACAAATAAATAAATAACACTACTGTACACTTAATAAGACTACAGTGTAGCGTAATATGCACTAGGAAACCAAAAAATTAACCTGATTCACTTTACTGAGATATTTCCTTTATTGTGGATTGTTGGTAACCAAACCTGAAATATCTCTGAGGTATGCCTATATATCACAAGTTTTTGTCAGGTAGGTAAAGATGAACTTACTAAAAAAAAAAAAAAATCACTTGTCATTCCCCTACACATCAATAACCAAGCATAAAATAGAAAAAAAAAGTTAAAAAATAGCAATAAAAAAATTAAAGCATCTAGGAACTAACACAGGAATGCATTAGACCTTTGTAATAAAAAAGTAAAGCTTTAATAAATATATAATTGGACACTCACATAATAAAGAATTTTGATCCCCATTTCACACCCTATAGACACACACACAATGGATAGTAAATCTAAATGTGAAAAGCAAAACAATAAAGCTTCTAAAAAAAGAGAATTGCTTCGTAACCTTGAGGTAGGTAAGTACTTCTTAAATAGCACATAAAAAATGCTATCCATAAAGAAAAAAAAAGATACATGGACCAAATTAAAATTAAGAACCTCTGTTCATCAAAAGCCACCAGTAAGAGAATGGAAAAAAAGGCAATGACCAGAAGATATTTGCAATACATATATTAATAAAGGATTCATTTCCAGACTATACAAAGAAGTCCTACAGATGAATGAGACAAGATAATCCAACAACAAAAAAATGGGCAAAAGATTTAAATAGGTAGTTAATGAAAGATATCAAAATGGTGAATAAACTTACAAAAGGTGCTCAACTTCATTAAGACCAGTGACAGACAAACTAAAACCAGTGACATCACTACACACCCATCAAAATGGCTAAAATGCAAAAGAGGAAAAAAGCAAGTGCTGAAAAGGATGTGAAACAACTGGAACTTTCATATATGCTACTAGTGAGACTATAAATTGGTACAACCATTTTGGAAAACTGTTTGGCAGTACCTACTTAAGGCTGACTATAAGCAAACTAAAGCTGGTTTTAGGCAAATCCTACAATTGAACACTTCTAATCATATACCCAACAGAAATGCATATATTTGTTCACCAAAGATATTTATAAGAATGTTCATAGCAGCACTATTCTTAGTAGCCCCAAATTGGAAACAACCCAAACATCCAACAGCAGAAAGGATAATTTGTGGTATATTCATATAATGCAATACTACACAGTAATGAGAATAAACAAACTCAACTATATACAACAGAATGGATGCATCTCACAAAGATAGTGTTGACCAAATGAAGCCAGACTTAAATATACACTGAATGATTTCAATTTTATAAAGTTCAAAAATAAACTAAATAGAAATCAGGACAGTGGTTACTGTAGAACGGGAAGAGGAATGGATAGTGACTGGAAATGTAGGCAGGTGTTCCTTCTAACGTTCTGGTTTTGTTTTTTGATTTGGGTGGTTCTTAAAAAGGTGGGTTTACTTTGTGAAAATTAGTTATGGAATACAATTACGATTTGTACACTTTATGTGTATTATATCAAATAAAGGTGTAGATGAGAAAGAAAAAGGAAAATATACTGGATTACAGATCTCAGAAGAAGTAAAAATACTACAACAGCTAAAACTTTTTAGCTTAAGAAACACAAAACATTAAAAGGGACACAAATGAAGACCTAAAAATTGGTGATGTTTACGGATGGCATAAATTAACATTAAGATAACTATCCTCTCTGGGGTGCCTGGGTGGCTTAGTTGGTTGAGAGTCTGACGACTCTTGATCTCAACTCAGGTCTTGATATCAGGGTTGTGAGTTTAAACCTCATGCCGGGCTCCACACGGCATAGAGCCTACTTATAAAAAAAAAAAAAGATAACTATCCTCTGTAATATATAAATTCAATGTAATCTCATCACAATTTTTTGAGGAGTTCAGCTAATGTATTCTAAAATGCACACTAAGCAACAAAGGCACATATATAGCTAAGACAATTTTGAACAACAAAAGCAGAGGAGAGTCCTTACCAAATATACTACAAACAGTAATAAAAAAAAAAAGTGTTTCTGGAGCAGGAGCAGACAAATGGGATACTATAGAAATTGACCCAGGGGCATCTGGGTGGCTCAGTCGTTAAGAGTCTGCCTTTGGCTCAGGTCATGATCCCGGGGTCCTGGGATGGAACCCTGCATTGGGCTCCCCGCTCAGCGGGAGGCCTGCTTCTCCCCCTCCCACTCCCCCTGCTTGTGTTCCTTCTCTTGCTTTGTCTCTCTGTCAAATAAATAAATACTTAAAAAAAAGAGAGAGAAAAGAAAAAAGGAATTGACCCAGTTATATATATGTGAAGTTGGGAAAGAATGGATTATTTAATAAGTAATTGTTCGGAAGACGGGCTCTATAATTATAAGAACATTAAAAAATAAAAATAGTAAGAATAAGATTTTTATTTATAAACTCAAATAAAAAGGTGAACTCCACAGTCAAAAAAACCTAAAAATAAATTGTAAGACAAATAAAAGAAAGTGTAGAAAAATGTCTTCATGAACTTCTAGTAGAAATGGATGTCTAAAACAAGATTCAAAATGCATAAACCATAAGGTGAAAAATTGATGGACTAGAAGAATTTTGTTCAACAAAGTATAGCATAAACAAAGTTCGTGGATGACAGATTTGGGAGAACATATTTGCAATGTCAAAAATAGAAAAGGGACTAATAACTGCAATATACAAGGAACTCTTGCAAAAAAAAGAAAGGGCAGGAAATCCAATGATAATTTGGGTAAAGATTATAAGTAAGCAATTCACAAAAGTAGAAACTCAATTAGCTAACAAGTATATGAAGAAATGCTCAACTTCAATTGGTAAATAGAGAAATATAAATTTAAACAAACCAAAAACATGAAATACCAAATCACAGACCTGTACCCCTGAAACAAATAATACATTTTATGTTAAAAAAAAAAAAAAAAAAAGAATACAGGAACCAACTTGAAGAGAAGGCATTGCAAAATTCAGGCCAAATTGAGCACTGAAATTAATAATAGTAATAATGGATTGTAACCCAATGAATAAAGTAAGTTGTGAGTTTATTAAATAAATCAATTGATAAAAAAAAAACATGAAATACCACTTTATAGCCATCACATTGAAAATATTTTTAAACATTAGAAAATAGCAATTGCTGGTGAGGATATGAGGGCAACAGGAATTCTTGTGTACTTCAGGAGTAGGGTAACTGTTACAGCCATTCTGGGAAATGATTTGGCAGTATTTAGTGAAACTAAGTATGTGTATGCCTTATGACCTAACAGTCCACTCCTAAAAACATTTCTCAGAGAAACCCCTGCATTGGTCCAAAAGAGGATGAATGAGGATATTTATCATATAAACAGTAAAAAATCAGAAATAACAAATGAGTGCATCACTAGTAGATTGATCTGTAAACATGATAGGTCCATACCATGGATTATGCTATAATTAAAAGCAATCAATTACACATAAATACAACTACATGGGAAGATCTATAAAATCAACACTGAAGGAAAATTAAGAAAAAGAATGAGATCTACATTATATGTTGACTATACTGGAATTAAAATTAAAAAAATAAAAAAACAAGAATAAGATCTGTAACACAGTACTATCTTTTAATGAAAAAGCACAAATTTTAAAATCACATTACACAAAACAACACTGTACAATTTGTAAAGACATACAAATTTAAAAAGATACACCAAACACATCAGTGGGTGCAAGAAGGTGGGTTGTGTAGGGAGGGACTGGGGGGAAATCACTATGAAGGGGAAAGGAAAATAAAACGAGAGGCACTGCACAGCCCACTGATATTTTACTATACATTTTTTAAAAAGATTTTTTATTTGAGAGAGAGAGAGAGAACACACAAGCGGGGGTGGGAGGAAAGAAGGGGCAGAGGGAGAGGAAAAAGCAAGCTGCCCACTAAGCAGGGAGCCCTGCATGGAGCTTGATCCCAGGACTCCGGGATTATAACCTGAGCTGAAGGCAGACAGTTAACTGACTGAGCCACCCGGGCTCCCCAATATTTTACTATAAATTGATCAGAAATTCTGAGTGACTCAACTCCCTGTACTTGAAATCCCCCTTAAAAAAACTTAAATCATAGGGGCGCCTGGGTTGCTCAGTGGTTAGGTGTCTGCCTTCGGCTCAGGTCATGATCTCAAGGTCCTGGGACTGAGCCCCACATCAGGCTCCCTGCTCTGCAGGAAGCCTGCTTCTCCCTCTCCTGCTCCCCCTGCTTGTGAAGGGGGAGCAAATCTTAAAAAAAAAAACCAAAAACTTAAATGATGAAGAAACCAAGTTACTGCATTATAAATTAACCTACAAATGACAGAAGTGCTCAGTCTACTAATAACTCAAACCTGCTCTAGTTTTTATCTAAAGAGAAACTTGATTTCATACAGATTTCACAGCTTCTCAACATCCAGATACCTGGAAACATAAGAGAATCTGTATATCCTTCCACGCGAGTCCTTGTGATTCATTCACGTTGTAGTGTAAGTTTCCTTTCAATCAATCCAAGAAGGATCAGCGTGACCAAGCAAAGCAGATTCCAAAGGCAGGAAGCAGAAGCATATGACGCTATGGAAGTACCTTTCTGATCAGTCCCTTCTGCTGTTGTAGGGCCTTGGGGCAACCCTTCAATGTAGGTGGTTGGCAACAGCTCAGCTGAGATAGGTTGACCTTGTAGCTTTTGTAGTCTCTCTTGTACAGCACTGGTCAGGTCTATATAAGCCTCATCAATGCTGCCACGTTCAATCCCAGCAAAACGAGACATTATCCCCATTACTTCCACACTGGCTTCCCGGTACCTAAAAAGTATAAGGATTATCATATGTGTAGGCAATAAATGAAGGCAACATTGAGACTGTCAGCCCCCATCCCCTCCATCTCATAATAGGATCATATATATAACCAATGTAAGGTCTCCTTAAAGGGAGGAATAGCTTGGCAGAAATGAGGTAACCCAAATGAAGGGGTCAATGAACAGGCAGATGGTCAATAACAGAAGCAAAGAAAAAGAAGAACCATGGAAGCAAACATGTTTAGTGACTCTAGCACTATGAAGGTGGAAAGCATCCAGACCATAAACATGTTTTTGTGGATCTCTCCAAAGAAGAAAGAAATGGTTCAAACTTGTTCAACTACATTTTACTAAGATCACCTATTCTTTTTGTTATTTTCATATATCCACTATGTATTTTCTGCTTTGCCTTTTGTCTTCAAATAAGACATAATTTACAGGAAACACTACCCTGATTCATGAACCCAAGTATCTGGTCTTTCTCAAGACAGTATTTTTCACTATAAAAGTGACATATATTTATACTTCAGTCAACAGTGAGTTGGATCAATATGTGAGCTGGTTCTTGCTACATATATACACATACGCACACACACACATCCAACCAACCAAGTCCAATCACTTCACTTCTGGGTATACTAACATTCAAATAATCAAATTGAAGATAAATGCCTAGAATGTGGTGACAGCCTTCCCCAGGGGATACCAATTTCACCATATACCTTCTATTTAAACCATAACAAGCAGCTCTTCTGGCTGTAGATAGCTAGTTTCCTATGGCAACAGGTGCATATTTTCTTTGCTTTGAACCTGCTATGGAATTTAAAGTAAGTTCTTTGTTCCTGATAAATCTATCATAAAAATGGGAAATCTATTAAAAACTAGTATAATTATTGTTCTAAAACATCCTCAAAAGAATTAGAGAAATATTTGGGGCGCCTGGGTGGCTCAGTCGTAAAGTGTCTGCCTTCGGCTCAGGTCATGATCCCAGGGTCCTGGTATCGAGTCCCACATTGGGCTCCCTCCTCGGCGGGAAGCCTGCTTCTCCCTCTCCCACTCCTGCTGCTTGTGTTCCTGCTCTCGCTGTGTCTGTCAGATAAATAAATAAAATCTTTAAAAAAAAAAAAGAATTAGAGAAATATTTGTCTTTTTTTCTTTTAATCATTACTTGTGCTGGAAAGAGGATAGTCAGACCTCAAAGGAAATAAAAGAGTACAAGCATGTGCAAGAGCATGAGAACATGATACAAACACACACACATAGAGGAAAGAACACCTTATTGCAATAGTTGGTGTTCCTTCACAGCCTCCTGCACAAATTACTCCAAAGTGTCTTAACAATATTTGATAAAATTTATGTGTATACATTTCTGCAAATCATATTTTATAACTTGGTATCACAAGTTAATTATTAAAAAAATAATTTTAAATTGCCAGGTCTTTTTTTTTTTTAAGATTTTTATTTATTTATTTGAAAGAGAGAGCACATGAGAAGGGGGAGGGTCAGAGGGAGAAGCAGACTCCCTGCCGAGCAGGGAGCCCGATGAGGGACTCAATCCCGGGACTCCAGGATCATGACCTGAGCCGAAGGCAGTCGCTTAACCAACTGAGCCACCCAGGCGCCCATAAATTGCCAGGTCTTAATAATTCTGGTCTATACACTAACTCCTAAATTTGGTAAAACTGGCTTTGTTCATTATTTGATGAAGTTTTTTTTTAAATTATTTATTTGTCAGAGAGAGAGAGAGAGAGAGAGAACACAAGCAGGGAGAGCGGTAGGCAGAGGCAGAGGGAGAAGCAGGCTCCCTGCCAAGCGAGGAGCTCAATGTGGGACTCAATCCCAGAACCCTGGGATCATGACCTTTGCCAAAGGCAGATGCTTAACCAACTGAGCCACCCAGGTGTCCCATTTGATGAAGATTTTAAAAGGAAAATAAATGATCCAGTTTAAAGCATGCAGCTTTTCAAAATCACTCTCGGAAGCCAACTATATTTCTGGGAAGTTACACTGTCTTTACCAGCATAAAATTCTATTCAATGCAGTGTAGCATATGTCCATTAGCTGAATTAATTTTACTTTAGGGTTAAGATACTAATCTTCAGTCAAATCCGTCTTCTCTTCTGACAATAACTCCAAGGTGAAGTTGCTTATGGCATACCACCTTTAGACTTGTAATTCATAGGTGAATTCTCAAATCTTAAGTCCAATCATGATCCCTACACACCACACATGGTAGAATATACTGTGAGAATGTGGCTACTGAAATCTAAAAACCCCCTGAATCCTCAGCTTTATATTTCCTAGCTGTGTGAACTTGTATTATTTAACCTCTCTAAACTTGTTTCTTCGTGGACATAGGGGGTGGGTAATACTAGAACCTACCTTATAATAATGTGAGATTTAAGAGATCTTGCCTATGGAGAGCTTGTAGAGGCTGGCATAGGACAAATGCTCAATATATATTATCTATAAGGATTATTATAATGGCTGGAGCTCGTACTTACCTCTAACTTAGCTATGCCCATATAGACTAATGTCCTACAATTTGGGGAGCGACAGCTCACTTCAAACACAGAGGTAATCTCGTTTGAGATTGTTCAGTTCTAGCAAGTAATTCTAGACACTGCACTATAATGTCAGTTTAACTCATCCCTCTCTGGAAAAACTTAGTTTCAGTCAATTTAATTACTTCAAACATTTCAGACTTTCGGCCTAAGAACATGGAAATTGGTATTAAGTTTTAACTATAACACCAATTCTTAAACAATTAAGGAACTGAAAGGATATTAAGAGCAGCAATTGTTATGGGCTGTAATGACTCTGCACTGTTCCTGAAACAGTATCAAAATCTATTTTCATTTCAGAGAGTAAAGCTGGCTGTCCAAAGGAACTTTCTCAGGTGTTAATTATACAAAACAAATTTGAAACATCAGTTCCTAGCCTCAAAGAATATTATTTCCAATTCTTCCATTCCCCTAAACAATCTTTTCTTCTTACTTGGTGAGGTTAGCCTTCCCATGGGACTCACGAACTTGTACCAGTAGAAGATCTGGACATAACTTCTTAGCATCATCTGCCCACATGCTTCTAGTGACCCCAAATGCACGAGCTTCATAACTCACTGCAACTATTCTAAGGTTAGGAAAAAAAAAAAAGAGAAACAGAAAAATATTACACAATCACAAACAAAAATAACTAAAATTTAACTGAACGAGCTATAAACATAATAGTAGAAACTTCTAGGTCACAGATGCCACTATTCCATCTCAAACAGAGCAGTTCAGAAATCTCAAAAACAGGACCTAACATACTGCCATGTATTCTTATAGAATAAAATAGCTGACAGTTACAATAACTATGATACATACCCACCACCCTTCCATGATTTGTACTGTACAACCGCACAAGGTTTATTCCTCAAATGAGGATTTTGCCGCTGTTCCACTTGAACAAAAAAACAGTCCATGTCCAGTAGGGCAACTACCCGGTCCTGTCCAGTAGCCATTTTTCTGTAAGACAATATTTTATGGTCAGAAAAGACACCTAATCCAAAGTGCCAAGGAAAACTGTTATTTCTGTTCTTCCACAGTTGAGCTACCATGAGCATGGATATTAACAAGAATGAAATAGGCATTTTCATATACTGCTGGTAGAATAATAAATAAATTGGTACAATTTTAGGAAGGTAGTAAAGCTTAGTCACCATGTCGCCTTAGTCTTCTGTAATCTGTGACAGTTCCTCAGTCTTCCCTATTTTTCATGACCTTGACACTTTTGAAGACAACTAGTCCGTTACTTTGAGAATCTCTATCAATTTTGGCTTGTCCAGTGTTTCCTCTTGATTAGATTAAGGCTATACATTTTTGGCAAGAATATTATGGAAGTGATATACTCTTCTTAGTATATCATATTGAAGAGGTACATGACATCAAAATGTGTTATTACTCGTAGTGTTAACCATGATCATTTAGTTGTGATAGTGTTTGCCAGGTTTCTCACTGTAAAGTTATTATTTTTACTTTTGTAATTATTATCTTAGGGGAGATACTTTGAGATTATGCAAATATCCTGGTTTTCCTCAAACTTTCAACCATTAAGCACCTATCAGTGGGTCTTGCCTGTAACACTTTACAGTGTTCTAATGGTGATCTTCTATCCATTTATGTAAACTTTTGAAGACAAAAGAAAATACTATATACTATTCATATAAAAACATAGATAAAGGTATGGATGGTAGATTGGAAGAACAAACCTTTTATACTTGATAGTGGATACAGAATAATGTTCTCATATAGCATTGTCAAAAAAAAAAAAATCTGGAAGAAGGAATGTAAACTAAAGTGGCTCCCAACTTTGCTGCAGATTAGAAGCACTTTTTTTAAAGTAAGCGCTATGCCCAACGTGGGGCTTGAATTTACAATCCCAAGATTGAGTCGCATGCTCTATAAACTGAGCCAGCCAGGTGCCCCCCAACCTAAGAACATTTAAATAATATTGATATCTGGCTCCTACCACCAGACATCCTAATTTAATTGGTATGGGTGTGTTTGTGCCATCTCAACCTATCGACAGTAATGCTATCAGCTAGAAATGGCTGGGGGCACTTACCTGGGCTCCAGTGAGCTTCCCACAGACATCTCCCCTTTCCAAAGGAAAAGATACAACTGACTGACCCTTGTAGTTCTTAATGTGATTGCAAGATACCCGTCAACAATAACCATCAGGAAACTGAAAAAATAAACGTTTATTACTTACAGGACTAGAAACTACACAGCACACCTGGAGCCACACAATGAGGTCAGAGAGAAAAAGAATTTTACCTTATGTAATTAAGCTGGCTAAAAGTGAATTATTTAAAAATAAATTTAAAAAGTGAATTATTATAAGGGTTTTTAAAAATAAGCTTTAATATCGGGATGCCTGGGTGGCTCAGTCAGTTAAACATCTCCCTTTGGCTTGGGTCATGATTCCAGGGTCCTGGGATCGAGTCCCACATCCAGCTCCTTGCTCAAGCCTGCTTCTCCCTCTCCCTGCCACTCCCCCTGCTTGTGTGCTGACAAATAAATAAAAATCTTATTAAAAAAAATAAGCTTTAATATCAATAGTGTATTTGTGCAAACAAAAATTTAATTTTCCTTCATCTGCTACGAAGGGTGTTTTCTTGAACTATTAGTCTGCTCCTGATAAATTTTTCTTTACCTTTTTAAGTAATCTGCCTAGAAAACAAAAGATTGTTTCGTCAAAATAATTTCCTGTGCTTCATGTTATCTTTATCAAGTCATTCATTACCATAGAAAATGGAATCTTTTCTATTAAGAGCTAAAGTGTTGTGTTGTTTTTTTTTTTACAACTACGTAACGTATTTGCTTGCAAAGTCTTTGTCACTTTGATTAAATGGACAACTAAGTATTGTTTCACAATGACCTGTGATCCTATTTAATCAAGGGGTTTCAACATTTTTGATATTTTTGACAAACTTTCCCCCAAAATCAAATTCTAAATTAAGTCTTTTTGACCTCAAACTAACTTTGAAGTTTTTCAGAGGGCCCATGGAACATCTCAAAAGATTTGTTCTCTATAAAAAGACAGATGTTAAACTAATTAGACTTACAGATGTCTTTTTCAAAGTCTGCCTTATGCCACTTCACTTTTATGAAATACCCACATTAGTACCTCTTTTCTCTAACAGAAAGAAATCTGAAGAGGATTTTTCACTTTTATAGGAAAAGATGAAAAATGAAAATAGTGTTCGTTGTTTGTTTTACAAAGAGCCATTACAGAATCTGCACACACTCCATTCCTCAAGAATAGCACCAAGCTCCTTCGCCAGAAACTACACTCAGCATCTCAATACCAAACAGTCATAACTTTGTGGACTATGTGAGCATATGAGCTTTCTCTTCATTTACTTTGTGGATCCGATGGCAAAATGTGTCCTAAGGTATCAGAAAAGTTTAAGAGAGGTTATTTTTTAGGTCTGAGAATGCTCAAAAACTTTTCCATATAAACAAATGGTAACTGCTTTTTTGCTTTAAACCACTTTGGCCTATGGGGTGCCTGGGTGGCTCAGTCGGTTAAGCATCTGCCTCAGGTCATGGTCCCAGGGTCCTGGGATAGAGTCCTGAATGGGGCTCCCTGCTCAGCGGGGAGCCTGCTTATCCCTCTCCTCCCTGCTTGTGCTCTCTCTTGCTATCTCCGTCTCTCTCCCTCAAATAAATAAACAAATAAAATCTTAAAAAAAAAAAAAAAAGAGGAACACTCTACTTTCAGATAGTGGGGTTAACCTGTATGATATGTTAAATTATGTGGGAAGCAGTGTCAAATATGAAATAATGCTAAACCTTCTTTATGCATATCCTTGTATGGAAATATAACTGTTCAAGAAACTATATGAAATTCCTAAAATTCTGATATATTATCAATCTTAATTCCAATGATCATTTTGAAAAGTTATCATTTTAAAATGTTATGTGTCACTTGGGGTGCCATGGCTCAGTCGGTTAAGTGACTCTTGGTTTCAGCTTGGGTGGTGATCTCAGGGTTGTGAGACTGGCCCCATGTTGGGCTCTGGGCGTGGAGTCCACTTGGGATTCTCTCTCTCCCTCTGCCCCTCTCCCTCTCTAAAAAATGTTATGTGTCACAGAAATACCAAATTTCCTTGCCAAATGCATTATAATGAACTCTCAGGATCTTTAACTATGGACATTTTTAAGTCTTTTGTCATGTAGAGTTGTTTGCAAATGTGTTTCATCTTCAGAAATTCACATAAAGGACACTGATAAGTACTCTAGAATACAGGTTCTGGTAACTTTTAGATCATACCACTGAACTGGGTAAGAACTGATAGGACACTAATAGAGAAAGTGATGGTTTCATAAAACTGTTAACAAAAAATCAACAAGAATTCCATGGGACTGGGGCGCCTGGGTGGCTCAGTTGGTTAAACTGCTGCCTTCAGCTCAGGTCATGATCCCAGGGTCCTGGGATCGAGCCCCACATCGGGCTCCCTGCTCATGCAGGAAGCCAGCTTCTCCCTCGGCCTGCCGCTCCCCCTGCTTGTGCTCTCTCCCTCTCTCTCTCTGTGTGTCAAATAAATAAATAAAATCTTTAAAAAAAAAAAAAAGAATTCCATGGGACTGAATGCACTGATGAGGATGATTATAATTTTTATGACTTTTTGTATGAAACATTGTTGGTTCTTTAATGTTGTTTTTTTCCAGTTTTAAAAAACCTCTTTTCTTAAGCTACCTCTGACTTGTAGCAATTTGGTAAAGTATACTTTTGAGAACACAGATGAAACAATTACTTTTTCTCCCCACCTGATTCCTCCAGAACTAAAAAATGTCAGTGAATATTCTTATTTTCGAGGGAATATAATTATCTGCATAATCTGTTCATCTTGTAACCGGACACAAAGGGAAACACTGGTTATATTACCCAGACTTTCAGTGGAATGTCATATTTGAGAAAGACATATATAGAGATAGTAGTTAAGGAACTAAGGTTGACTTTATGGAGCCAATAAAGCCCCTTGAAAAATCAGCCTGCTACCTTGCTTACAGAGTTCCCAATAGCCTTCCTAAAAGGAAGGTCACTTCCTGGCAAGCCCAGGAATCTCAGGGTATTTTAGGAACCTCAAGAAGAGAGGAATTCACCCAAATTTATAGGTATTGCAGGCAAGACCTACTGGCAGGTTTCTGGATTGGCTTCCTGGTCTTGAGAGGCTTTTATAAGTTCAATCTGAGATTCCTTATGAAAAGTTCCAGCAAAGCAGACTTAAAAGTCTGTATGGTCAATTCTTGTTGCAATTATGTAAATTCTTACTGCAATTATGTAAATAATCAGCCAAATTTAATGAGATTAAACTTATTTTACAAACAAATTAGCCTTACTTTGACTATCTCTGATAGAAATGGAGGTGATTGTAAGACAAAGAATGTTTTAGTAATATACCTTTGTGGATATCAGATTCTATTGCTGTTATTTGTCTTTGAGGTTTTGTTTTCCACCTCTAAACTGAACTAGATCCTGAATTCTTCTAGTTTCCTCCAATATTTTTTTTTAAAAGATTTTATTTATTTATTTGACAGAGAGAGAGACAGCGAGAGAGAGAACACAAGCAGGGGAAGTGGGAGAGGGAGAAGCAGGCTTCCTGCCGAGCAGGGAGCCCGATGCGGGGCTCGATCCCAGGACTCTGGGATCACAACCTGAGCTGAAGGCAGATGCCCAACAACTAAGCCACCCAGACGCCCCATAGTTTCCTCCAATATTTGGCTACAACTCTCCAAACTAACATTTCCAAGTGTTATCCCACCCTTCTGACTTAGAAACACTGAGAACTAAAATTGCCCTTTCCCAAAGCCATGCAAGCTGAAGCGGGATTTGATGTAAACTTAAGAGAAATCACCACAATAGTTCGTGTATAGACAATTTTTGTGCCTGTTACTGTGTGGGCCACTCAGAAAAGATCGCCAGAGACATTCAAACTGCAAACCAGGAAAATCTAAGATTGCCACTGTCTGCCCTCACTCCATCTGAAGATGCTTTGAGCCTGACATCTAAAAATCTTCTCAACTGGCTGCCTTCAGAACTCAAAAACAGGGATTAATAATCTCCTCCAAACATTAACCTTTGTTTTTATTTCTTTTGTTTCCATAGACATACCTCTCATTAAATGCCTGAAGCAAATACTTCCACCATGTAGGCCTGTTAAAATAGAGACAGCAGGCCCAAAATGGAGTCACTTATACTAAGCCCATGTCACCAAACCAAGACTGAATACCTAATCTCAATTTTAGCCCCTCCCAGTCTGTAATCTTAACCTGTCAGTCTGGAATTTCCTGGTCAGCACTAGTGCCCTGCCTTCCCCCAAAGAAAGGTGGCCTTGCTTGAAACAATCCACTCTTTAACAGTAACTTTCTTGTCATGCCCACTTCTGCCTCTAAAAGTCTTTCATTTTGTACAGCTCTTAGGAGTTTCTTTTTGTTAGATGGGATGCTGCCCAATTCATAACCCTTGAATAAAGCCAGTAAGATCTTTAAATTTACTCAGTTGCTGTTTTTTTTGTTTCAAACAGGCTTAACTTGGGGAACCCACCTGCATGACCACCTTCTGAAATGAGACACAACCTTTTAATTATTCTCAGGACTAAGAAACTGGTTCCATTGAATATGAAACAATCTAGCAACTCAGGACAGGCTCAAACCTACTTATACCATATGGCTGAAGATGTTAAAATATTTCACAATATTACCCAAATCCTTGAACAGATTTCCAGGGCTAGCTAAATAGTCAGGATCACTGACCTATTTTCATGGCTGGACCCTTTCAAGTTTAGGACAACAGCTAGAGACTGGATTTCAAACTATGGCCTGTATAATTATTTATATAAATATAACTTTTAACATACCAGCTGTCCAGGTAGTTAAAGTCCTCATCATTGACTCTGGCATCACAGGGTAGATTATTTATGTAAACCCTGACAGCTGTTCTCCCCCAACCCCTTTTCATAAGGGAGATGCCTGATTTAAGCTTGGATTGCTGAGGCATCTGCTTCCAAGATGACTATCTTGAATAAACACATAGCCAGCCAAATGACTAGATAAAGTGCCAGACCACCTCCCCCAACTAAGACTCCTTTGTTTTAGAGTTCTTGGTTGATTTCAATAACTGGCCATTTTTTGGGTGCTTGGTTTTTTGTTTTCCATTTTCTCTCTTCCTGTACTTTAAATTCCCACTTTTTTTTTTTTTTACGATTTTATTTGATTGAGAGAGGGGACTCGGGGGGGGGAGGGGGGCGCGGACGGGGAGAAGAGAGGGAGAAGCAGACTCCCAACTGATCAGGGAGCCCCCCACAGGGCTCAATCCCAGGATCCTGACATCATGACCTGAGTCAAAGGCAGACACTTAACCGACTGAGCCACCCAGGCTGCCCCTCCTGCTCTTCTTTTTTAAATTCACCGATGAAACTCTTGATCGCCACCCTCAATCCCAGTAAAAGCAGAACCCCGGGCCTGTGGTAGCTTGCTCCCTCTCTACCTATAACTGTGCTGTGTGCCCAACTGGTTTGTCTTGTGAGCTCCAGGGCTTGCAAGGAATAAACTTTTTTTTTTCTTTCAAAGTTTCCTGAGGGTCACTGCTAAAGGGTGTCCTGCAATCATACTAAGAACCATAAGAACACTGGTTTGGAAAGAGATGTCTGTGGGAAGCTCACTGGAGCCCAGGTGAGTGCCCCCAAACATTTCTAAACATAGCATTACGATCGCTAGGCTGAGATAGCACAAAACACATCCATACCAATTAAATTAGGATGTCTGGTGGTAGAAGCAAAATATCAATGTTACTTAAATATTATTTTATTTAAATTTATTATTTTAAATCATTATTGTTAATAGACCAAGAGGGCACAAAACAGGGTGTGACCGGGGCATTGTGATTTTTAAAAGCTCTCCAGGCAGTTCTAGTATGTAGCAGAGATTGGAAACTGACCTAAAGTAAATAAGATACTTATGCAAACACCAGTAATTCATGATTTAAATATGAGAAACATAGGTTATACAGTTGAGTAAGCACCGGACTGTATTAAAAAAGGTCAACAATTAACATTCACCTTGAGAAAAGTGGCAGGCAACTAAGAATGACAGAAGATTACTGGAAAGAAAACAATGAATAAAAAATCTGAGTAATCAAGGCATTAATTCCTTATAAATTCCACTCACTGAAAACTGGAAGAATGTGTAACTTTAAACATTTGTAAGTTAAAACCATAACATGTCAGAAATCACCCTACTTGAAAGGAAGTGGTTTTTGTGTTGCACTGGAACAGATAATGCCAGAAAATAGTAAACACATTTTCTCACACACATACACCCACATCCACCCCACCCCCACCACGGAAGTACCATGCTAGATGCAAATAGCAGAAATGTAGTTTGAATAGGAAGCAGTGATTTAAGTCCAGCGAACATTTTACCGAGTAAACGAACACAAAACCCAATATGCAAACTTCAACAGATAATGAAGCTGCTGAAGTGTTCAATTTATGTATTATGCTGGAGAAAGCAAGAGCTTTTTAAAGATGGAATAATGAAATACACTCGCTGCCAAAACCCCCCTTCCCGAATAAGGATTACACTGTTTTCAAGTCTTATACGTAGCACTTCAAATGATCCAAACTGCACAAGCCTTCAATAATTGTAATTATTCATCTAGCGAATATGCCGTTTTCCCACAAGAAAATTCCTCTTAGGGGACCATACCGGGAGTGAGCATGCGTTTGTTTCACCGAATTTGGGTCCAACGTCACCACCAGCCACTGCTATAGCATAAAACCAATAGCCAAAATATTAAAAGTCTGAAAACAGCGATGCCGAACGGTTCTAAATTCTCTTACCAATGTAGCAAGCTCCTGGACAAACTGCCAACCACCGACGCCAAAGATGCCGGGCTCGCTGTCCACTGGAAGGAAGATGAAGGGGTCCTGAATATCTGCCCCCTTTCCGGGACAGGACCAGTCGGCTTCGAGAGATTTATTCCCCGTGACGCCGGAGAAACGGACCAGAGGTCACGGACGACCCTTGAACCGGGAGCCGCACGCACTACCCGGCGGGTCTAGGGAGGGTTTGCGCGCTCAGCAGCCAGCCCTCAGAACGTAGATTAGACAGCGCGCGCAGCAAAAAAAGCCGTTGACGCGCCTGCGCACTGCTGCCCTTCCGTCCTCCGCTCCGCCCACTAAGAGGCAACCGTCACCCCAGAGCCGCCACTTCCGCGGGCGCGTGCGCAGTGGCGAGTCGGGCGCGTGCGCAACCCCCGATCCTTCCAGGCTGGAGCTTCTGCAGCTCACGCTCCTCCTCCCGCTCCCCACCCCCCAGCCAGCCGCGGCCCGGTACCAGCTTGTGGTCCCGCGAGGGGAGCGGTCGGTACCTCGTGCTCCAGAGACTGCCGTGGTCCGCACTCGTGGCGCGTGGCACTAGCCATGGCGATGGATCAAGTGAACGCGTTGTGTGAGCAGCTGGTGAAAGCGGTGACGGTCATGATGGACCCCAGCTCCACCCAGCGCTACCGGCTGGAAGCCCTCAAGGTAGACGGGGTTTGGCGCCCCGGGCCTGCCCCAAGACCCTCCCCCAACCCCATTGGTTCCCCCCCCCGGCAACCCAAAGCCCTGCTGGTTTCCCGCCCACGCAGCCCTTGGACCTCCTACCCCAGCCCCGGGGGGCCTTAGCCTTTCCCCTCCCCGCCCTCCGCGCCTCTTCTCACTCCGGGCTTTCTCTGCTAACCGCGCCTCCCCTTCTCTCGGGACCTTCTGGTTCCTTGCTGCTTCTCATCTCATTACCACTTCCCACTGCCCTCTCCTCTCCTTTCCCCACTTCTGTTCAGTCTTGCCCGCACTACAGCCGGCTGCTTCTATTTTATTACCCCAAGCCCCACATCCCCTAGCCTTCCCGTGGCGCACGTGCCCATCACGTCCCCAACACCAGCTACATTCTTGACGGTCTCCCCTGCCTTAAACGTTTCCTTGCACCCTCCTGACCCGTCCTAGTCGAGCTCCGGCCCCCTAGTGCCACTTTATTTACATTCTTACACCTCTCACTAATCCTCTTCTGTGTCTTGGGTTATTTCTGGGCTAATTCTCATACACCCTCCCCCCATGTTCTTTTACTGTGTTCTATTCTCAGGCTATTTTGCGCAAAGATGAACTTCTACCACTTACTTTGCATTTTAACAAGGGCACTTGGGTTTCCTGAAAGTAGTTTTCTTGAATCCGGATGCTCAGCTCCTGGGACTGACTCTTGTGTTGCAGTTTGGGAATGCTAATACAAATTGGGATGCTAATAAAATATGAACTTATTCCCACATCAAACTATGTGTGTAGGATGTGAGAGATGACCATTAGGAAAAACACTTGTGCATATATATTTTCTAAAGTTGTTATTCAGTTAAGTGCTGTGTATGTTTTAAATGATGTAACTTTATAAAGTAGAGTGAACATCATTTGGGGAAAACTTTACTTTTAAAAACACAGATGTCTGCCACAGGATTTGGAATGAGAAACACTTGGGTTCTATTTGTTTGTTTTTTTTTTGCTATAAAATATTAAAGATATACACAAAAGCAAAGGGAATAAATACTACAATGATCTTGTATATACCCCTCACCTAAATTCAGGATTTATAAAGATTTTGCCACATTTGCTTTATTCCTTTCTGCCACCTAATTTTTTTTAAAGCAAATCCTAGAAATTGTCATTTCATCCCCTGTATACTTCGGGGGTATATCTCTAACAAATGATTTTTTATTTAGGTCAGACTTTTTTCAACATTATTTGGCCATAGCATGGAAAATTTATAACTATCAAAGTGAAAGGAATGTTTATTAGTTCTTTACTCATATACTGTTGGTCTAGATTCTGCAGTTTAAAAATATAGCTTGGGTTGGGGTTCCGTAAGATGAAGTTTTTAAATTTTTTTTTTCATTTATCTAGACTTTATTTCCATGGCATACGATGTTTCACCTCACATACAGAATAAATATGATGGGTGGGGGGGCTCCTGGGTGGCTCAGTCCTTAAGCGTCTGCCTTCGGCTCAGGTCATGATCCCAGGGTCCTGGGATCGAGCCCCGCATCAGGCTCCCCGCTCTGCGGGAGGCCTGCTTCTCCCTCTCCCACCTCCACCGCCCGTGTTCCCTCTCTCGCTGTGTCTCTCAACTTAGTATGAAGGATGCTTGTCAGTGAAATAAGGTGAAAAGACAATGAGGCACAAATATCTTGGTGGGATTATCTTCATATTCTGGGATTTGTTCTGGGTGTTAATCCCTGATGAAAAGTCTAGGCCTCTTGCTTTCTTCAGTAGAGTACAAGCTTTCAATAAAACACTCTGACAGTCAACAGCAAAAATCTGTGTCACCGAGTGCTCCGAGCGCAGCACCCACTGCAGCTTTAAATTTTTTTTAATCCCCACTCTCTCTTGCCTCCTAAGGGAAATACTAACTTTTTTTGTTTCAGTTTTGTGAAGAGTTTAAAGAAAAGTGCCCTATCTGTGTCCCCTGTGGCTTGAGGTTGGCTGAGAAAACACAAATTGCCATCGTCCGACATTTTGGCCTTCAAATCCTGGAACACGTTGTCAAGTAAGGAGCTTTTGGACAGTACCACCAAAGTCTGTGAGAGAGCAAATCTTTATTTCTTATATAACTCATAGGGATAATCTTTAGGTGAGTAGGAAAGAACAATGTCCAAGAAGAAAGGAGTGATCCCCAAGAGATTATCACAGCCTCAAGAGCACTCTTATTTAAGACTTAACCTTCCTCTTCTTCAGTTTTTTCATCCATGTAAAATACATGGTACATTCTAAGCATTCTACATATATTATCTGATAGTGGTTCAGTCAGTGTTTATTGAGCTCCTACTGTATGCCAGCAGATCTCAGTCTTTTTAGAATAATGCAGTGTATAGGTAATTAAATCTCTGATTAGGCATTGGTGCTTTTAATTTGTTTCAAGTTTGAGTGTGTTCTTTCTCTGAATGGCAAATCTGAAGCAGGATTATATGAGAAAAACTGAAAACCCTTCCTAACTTGAGTCTCCTACCCCTAGCATCTATCAGAAGAATCAGCTTTTAAGACTTAGCCATAGTTTTGTGGAATTGTGTTATTCATAAGCCAGCACCAGAAAAAGAGGAGTTAGTGGTATCACCATTGTATTTTCTGAAAAGCAGCTACATTTGTTGCAGTTGTCCCAGGTGTATATTTGCTTTTGATCTATCAGTAAAATCAAGAGGAAAAGCTAATCTGTGCACAAATCCTGTGTGAATTTCAAGTAGTGGACCACTTCCTATATAGAACTTTTTCCCAAGAATTTTTCTGTTGTCAACATTTCAGTTGAATATAGAGTGTTCTTGTCCATTCTTTGAAGGGTAGAAAATCAAAAGTATAATTTCTTGGTGAAATCACTAGCATAATATAACACAGAATCAAAGCTAGTCTCTTATGAAGACTTCTAATGTGGTTCTCTTGACCTTACACATTTTGGTGGCCAGGTTTCGGTGGAACAGCATGTCTCGATTGGAGAAGGTCTATCTGAAGAACAGTGTCATGGAGCTGATTGCAAATGTAAGGAATGATTGGTTGGAACACTTGTGTTTCAGAGGTAGTTTAGACTAAGGGTGACTTCTTTAGCATTTATGTAAAAATTAACTAGTTCTACATAGGTCAAACCGCATGCTCGACAGGGCAGAGAAGATGAAACATATTCAGCAAATGAACAAGATTATTAGATCTAAATTAGATTGCACTTTGCTGTTTGTTTCCTTTTATTCCAAACCGAATTACTGTATGATTTTAACAGTACAAAACATGCAGTATGAATTAGTATCAGGAATTAGGATATGACTTTAAACATGCCTAAAATCCACAGCCTTTTTTCTTTTTTTTACAAATGGCATGAAAAGTTGAATTCCCACCTTTTCCTCTCCAAAGTTGAGTGACTTTAATAGAAAAAAATTCCCTTCAAAATTATTAATCAACTTAGGATTTGTATTTTGCTGGTTCTTGGGAAACTTGATAGAAATCCTAATTCATTAATCTCGCTATCAGACTCCAGAAGAACAAAGTCCCAGGGATAGTTTTTTTGGCCTTATAATGCTAGAGCTATCGGTAAAATACTTAGTTTTGCTTCTCTAAACTCTCTTATTTTATCAGCTTCTTCTTGTCCTTCTTTCTGTACTCTTCTCCCTTGGCGCTCTTACAAAGTGAAACAGTCAGTCTGAGAGTCTCTTCAGTTTGTAAAGGAAAACAACGATGTCTTCCTTGCTCTGTGCGACAGTCACTTTATTAGCTGATGCCACCCTTACTTAAGCTTTAAGGGAGGAAAATGGTTAGTGAGAATGCAAGACAAGTGACTCAGACCTGGAGAGCAGGTTTGTTTACCCCGTTTAGTTTAAGAGCAAGCCTGCTGAGGAGTTGTGTACACTTTCACAGCGCAGGTGTTTTGGGTTTTTGGGGTTTCTTAAATTCAGTCTTGCAAACCTCTTAACTATCTCTTATTCTTTTTTAGGGAACACTGGATATTTTGGAAGAAGAGAACCATATTAAAGATGTTTTGTCTCGAATTGTAGTAGAAATGATCAAGCGGGAGTGGCCACAGCACTGGCCTGATATGCTAATAGAACTGGACACCCTTTCCAAACAAGGGGTATGAAATATAACTATACTAGTTCAGTTTATTTTGGGGAGCCGTTCTGGAGTTTGTTTTGTCAACAGAAAAGCGCTTTTGGGCCTACCTATATTGAAAAAGAAGTTTCAGTTTAATTAGCTTATTTCTATTGATACAGGAAACACAGACAGAATTAGTGATGTTTATCCTTTTACGACTGGCAGAGGATGTAGTGACCTTTCAGACACTACCCCCTCAAAGAAGAAGGGATATCCAGCAAACATTAACCCAGAACATGGAAAAGATCTTCAGTTTTCTACTTAACACGCTTCAAGAAAATGTAAACAAGTACCGACAAGTGGTAAGGGCTACCCCACCTCCCAAAAGTTCTATTTTCTAATATGAGTGGTTTTGTTGTTTGTTTTTTGAAGTTAAAATAATCTATCAGCAAGGCATTAGGATGTCTAGTTCAGCAAAAGGAAACCATTTTATAAGCAAAAGAGAAACAGATGACAGGAAGAACTGGAACTAATTTTCCAAGAAACTCAGGTCAGTGAGTTCCCATGTTAAAAAAATAATCCTTTATAGTAAGAAACTTCTTAAAACAGTATAAAAATGGTTAATTCTTAATATTTAAAGTATTTAAAACCCGGATTTCCGGTAGGTCAGGGTATCATCCCTGTTAAATTTTGATGCCATATTTAGTCCTGGTCCCTTTTGCAGGAAATTGCCAGGTTTTATTTATCTTGACCACACGATTCTTGGTACAGATTTCCCCTGCTACCTGAAAGAAGAGCGTTCCCTTGAAATCTTTTGTAAGCCCAAATAGCATAGAATGAAGAAGAAATTACCATTAATTTATATGGAATAATTTTTGAACATTCCCACATCCAAAAAATAACCTCTCCTTAGCTTTTCTGACACCTTAGGGACACATCTTGCTAACAGGTATACAAAGTAAGTCAAGATAAAGCACAGATGCTCCCAGACACAGTTCAAAGCTATGGCAGCTTCATGCTGAGATGCTGAGTGTAGTTCCTGGGAAAGGAACTTAGTGGTGCTTTTGTAAGGTCTTGCTGTAAAACAAGTACTGAAAGCTATTTTCGCTTTTTGCCTTTCTTTAAAGTAAAAGCAGAAAATCCTCTTCAGATTTCTTTCAGTTAAAGAAAACAGGTACTAATGTGGGTCTTATGAAAAATCAAAGTTTCGTAACACAAACTTACAAAAAGTGGGAACTACCTGTATTTTATTCTTTCTGGGAAGGTATTCTGCAGAAGAGGGCAAGCCAGATACTGTGTTTCCAACCATTGTCATTTTTAACAGAGCTTTCAGAAGAAAGCCATGTGAAAATTAATCTAGTACAGTGGTTCTCAGCAAGGGACAGTTTTGTCCCCCATGTTATCACAGCTGGGGGGTTGCTGCTGGCATGTAGTGGGTAGAGGCCAGGCATACTGCTACTAAACATTCTGTAACACACACAATTGTTCCTCTACAATAAAGAATTATCCAGCCCAAATGCTAGTAGTATTGAGGTTGAAAAACCCTGATCTAAGGATGCCTGGGTGGCTCAGTCGGTTAAGCCATCCAACTCTTGATTTCAGCTTAGGTCGTGATCTCAGGGTCAGGAGATTGAGCCCCACATTGGGCGCCTCACTGAGCGTGGAGCCTGCTTAAGATTCTCTCTCTCCCTATCCCTCTGCCCCTCTTACCCCACCTAAAAAATAAAAAGAAAAACCCTGATCTAGAATTCTTATATGTGCTTATTCACAAAATAGGATTAATTAAAATCAGTTATTTTTTTACGCCCCTGGCAATTTTTTTTCTTTAAAGATTTTATTTATCTGACAGAGAGAGAGAGGGATCACGAGTAGGCAGAGTGGCAGGGAGAGGGAGAAGCAGGCTGCCTGCTAAGCAGAGAGCCTGATGTAGGGCTCAATCCCAGTACCCTGGGATCATGACCTGAGCCGAAGGCTGACGCTTAACCAACTGAGCCACCCAGGAGCCCCAGGCCCCTGGCAATTTTTAGAGAAGTAATAGATACTAACACAAATGATGGGAGGGTACTTTGAGCTGTTGGGGTGGGGAGAACTCAGAGTAAGTACCTAATATATGCCATATACTTGTTTGCACTTTAGGTGTTACTTAATCTTCAGAACAACCCTAAGAGTCAGAAAGTATAGTCTCCATTTTATGGATGAAGAAAACAAGGTCCGGAGAATAATTATTGAAGATCCCCTAATAAATGGTTGTGGTGGACTTCAAGTCCCATTCTATAATGGCCTATTTCCCCCAGAAAATCTCCCCAAGATTTTTCAAAAGAAAATGTCAGGAAAATACTTGCACTTAAAAACTTAGGTGTATTGAGGGTGAAGGAGGTATTTTTTTTCCTTTTCACCTAGGAGATTTAATCTGTGGGAGAAGGGGGACAAATTATGACTCCTTAGATGCCCCAGCAGTTCTAGCTAGCATGCCTGTGCAGGGCTGATGAGTGATGGTCTGAGATGTTAGAAACACATCCGCTGCGGTGTTTTTCTTTAGCTTCAGTTTCAGTTCCCTTCATCTGTTAAACCAGAGTGCCTCTTGTGTCCAAGAGCAGAGCACACCAGGAGCTGTCTTGTGTACGTGGAACAACGTCTTTGCTTGAGAAGTTGCATCCCTTCTTCCATTCCTTCTCTCCTTTCCTCCCTTCTCTCTTTCAATCTCAGCTTCTTCCCTTCCCTTCCCCTTCTCACCTTCCATCCCTTCACCTTCCCAGTTGAGGGGTAGGTTGAATGGTAAACAGTGACAGGATGAGTAGGCTCACTGTCCCTGTCCAGTGACCTGGGCCCTGGTCCAAGGGGACCTACAGGATCGGATTGGGAGTGAAAAATTGTTGGAGAGGAAAACTGGACTTGGTTCTTGTCACTTGGATTCCTTTTCCTTCTTGGGCAGCATCAGTAGATGCTGGTGTGAGAGGGTTCTCCTCCTCTCTGCCCATTAACACCTCTATTCCGTCACTGATGATGAAGGCTTAATACTTGTCCTTTATTAACAAACGTATTTTTTTAAAATTTGAGAAGAGGAATTGTAGAACAAATCCTTTATAGTCCTAATGGCAGTGAGTTTTTCAGGTGCTTCAAAAGTTGTTATTCCTGCTTCTGTTCCCCTTCACCTGTCTTGAGGAGTTGTTATTCATTTTAATTTCAGAAGTTTTTTTGGAAAGTATTAGTTTTGTACATGTAAATTATAAGCATTGTGTAATATTTATGGAATTTGAAGTATAAGGGTAGAAATCAGTTATAACTGTACATTTACTGAATGGACATTATTTTTATCTGTTCAGCATGTGATATTTTTGTGTGTGTGATTTTCCTGTGTTAGTTCATACATACGTGGTCATAAATTATGTTCATTTAACTTTGTCTCGCTTTTTTCCATTTATATTACATCATTTCAATATTCTTTTGCTAGTTATAATTTTTATTTGAATATGAAAAAATGCTCATACTCTTTTGAATTATATTTCTTTGATCCCTAGCAGCGTGGAGCCTTACTTATTCATCTACTACTTCTTTCTAAGCAGTGTGCTTTGAAACTGTCTTTGTGGACTTAATGTTGTAACAAATTTGTGTAAGCTCTTTAGATACTAATTTTTTGTCATACTGCTAAAATTCAAATAACCTGTCCTTCTTAGGGGAAATAGCTAAATGTTCTTAGTGCAGTTGTATTCTTTTCAAGGTTAAAAGTTGAGTCTGTATTTAAAATCATTATTCAAGGGACTTTATTAAGTGGGTGGAAAGTTACATAGCCTTTTGCTCATTAAAAACATTGGATCCTTATACTTCTTTTCTTTCAGAAGACAGATAATTCTCAGGAGTCAAAGGTAAGAGCTCTTGTGGAGTTGGAAGGAGACTTCTTTGAGGCTTTCAGGTACAGAGATGCATATACCTAGTGGAGGGTAACCTCAACCTTGGTTTAGATGATCACTGAGCAATGGTAGAAGGGAGTTAGAATTGCCGTATTTCCAGTTTATCAGAGGAGATGAAGTGGCTACATGCGCCAGTATGATTTCATTGACAGACACTGAGAATGCTGTTGTTTGAGAAGTTGTGCATCAAAAGAAGACCTTTGAGTGCTCTGTCTGGCTGTTACATGAGTACATTCTTTTAAAAAAAATTGTTTTCTTTTTAGAATTAGAGAATAGGAGGAGCTAAGGTATAACCACAGCCTCTTTGTTAGTGAGGACTTAATGATTAAAAGTTATTTCTTTCCATGCAGGCCCAAGCAAACTGTCGAGTAGGAGTCGCAGCGCTGAATACTCTAGCAGGCTACATTGACTGGGTGTCCATGAGTCATATTACTGCTGAAAACTGTAAGCTCTTAGAGATGCTCTGCCTGCTTCTGAATGAACAGGAACTTCAGTTGGGAGCAGCTGAGTGTCTTCTCATTGCAGTCAGCAGAAAAGTAAGTTACCACTTCAAACTGACTTTGACTTTTATCCTCAGAGTCTCTACGGGTGTGTATGTGTGTCTAATTGTACGTTGTGGCAGGAAGACATTGGAAAGTTTGGGATTTATTTTTACCTGACACCAATTTAATTATCTGCCACCAACCTCTTTGGACTGTAGTTTGCCTATATTCTAGGGATCCATTGGCAGCATATACAGAGATTTGTTGGGCTACCTTATTTTTGAAATCCCTATGAATCTTGGCACTTCACACCAAAGAAACAAGATGAAAGTAATACTAAAATTTAGAACTCAGTGTTATGTCAAAGAATCTTAGGTGGTAGCTACACTGGCTTTATATTAGCCTGGGCTAACAAATGGGACTGTGACTCTTTTCTCCATAGGAATATTATCTTTAGATACAGTTTACTTTGTTTTCATTTCAGCGTTATTGCCCAACACATTTAAAAATAGAAGAGTTAGAAATCGTTTTGATTTTAAAGAATCGGCCTTTTTTCCAGTGTTTAGTTTGCCCTGGGACTGTGAGAAATTATGAAGTCATTATATTTGATTATATAGCTATAGAAGATGTTAGTATTTGGAGGCTCTTAATAACAGTTTGTATTATGTGTGTTTCCCTAAAATTGGTTCTAGGGCAAGCTGGAAGACCGGAAGCCCTTGATGGTCTTATTTGGGGATGTTGCCATGCACTATATACTCTCTGCTGCACAGTGAGTATCTACTCTTCTATGTGTTTGCTGATTTCTTGGTCATTTCTGTAGTTTATACCGATATATCTGAAGTTCCTATCTGAATATTGGCAGTCAGTTGACAGTGTTTTAAATTTGAAAGGCAGTCTTTTTTTTTTTTTTAAGATTTTATTTATTTATTTGACAGAGAGAGAAACAGTGAGAGAGGGAACACAAGCAGGGGGAGTGGGAGAGGGAGAAGCAGGCTTCCCGCCAAGCTGAGAGCCCGATGTGGGGCTCGATCCCAAGACCCTGGGATCATGACCTGAGCCAAAGGCAGACGCTTAACAACACCCACCCAGGCGCCCCTGAAAGGCAGTCTTAAAGGAACTTTTTAACCTTTTTAAAGACCTTAGGCTGGAAAGAAGTTGTGGTCGTTGACTCTATACCCAGTCACTTTCACAGTTTTCCCCATTCTTCCCAGACAGCTCATCTCCTTGATTCTCTTTGCTTCTGGTGATCCCCAAGCCTCCTAGTAGCACTGGTGCCTAGGCCTGAGAATGCTCTGATCTTCTGGACCAGAGTCTGCCCCAGGGCCTGCCTTGACTGCAGAACTCCAGACGCTGCTCCCTCCTCTCCTGCTCAAAGTAATCAATGCCTGAAGTGCTGAGGCTCTTGGAAGCAGCAGGAACAGTGTGTTCGATGAGAAATGTATGCATGGGACCTGCAAACACATTCTGTGTCCTAAAATAATGGCTTCCACTTTCTTTCATTTTTAATTGCTTTGGAAAATACTTGACCATTTCCTGATATGTGTTTCTTACTAGGAAGGCAGGTAGAACTGTACTACAAAGACAGTTAAAGCTGTCATAGCATCTTTTTTTTTTTTGGATACTCTTCTCTTAGTCCCAGGGACAAATGAAAAGATATGAGATACACATGTATTACTTAAAATCTCTTACTCTCCATTCCGACACAGCTTTTATGATGGCTTTCTTTTCTCTGCAGACTAGCTCTGTTTTTAAGGGATCCTTTTAATTAAATTCATAACATGTCTTTTGGATAGCCACTGTAGTTGACTGTTCCCCAGGCCCATTTCTTAGTTCCATAGAAACCATGACATTCACACTGAGGTGTCCCATCTCTGTTGTGTTACTTACTGGTATTGGTTAGTAAAGCTATGATTCGAATCAGGCAATCAGACTCAAGTCCTGCACTAGAAACTGTAATGCCGTATTGTCCCTCAACATGGCTGGAGCCCAGGTCTTCTTACCCTGAGGCCCATGCTTTTTACATTATACTCTGCCTCAGGAACACAGCTAATATGACTGCTGTACACACTAGTTATTACTAATTCTTACTAGTGTGAATAGTCCTGCATCATTTCAGGTCAGGTTTTGCCACCAAATAAGTTTTTTTTTGTTTTTTTTAGGGATGCCTGGGTGGCTCAGTCAGTTAAGCATCTGCCTTCAGCTCAGGTCATGATGCCAGGGGCCTGGGGTCGAGTCATGCATTGGGCTCCATGCTCAGCGGGGAGCCTGCTTCTCCTTCTGCCTCTGCCACTCCCCTGGCTTGTGCTCTCTCTCTCTGACAAATAAATAAATAAAATCTTTAAAAAAAAAAAAGATTTATTTTTACGAGAGAGAGCATGCGTGCACATGGTGGGAGAGGGGAGGAGCAGAGGGAAAAGCAGACTCCCCCATGAGCCGGGAGCCCATTGCGGGACTTGATCCCAGGACCTGGAGAGCATGACCTGAGCCGAAGGTAGACACTTAACCGACTGAGCCACCCAGGCGCCCCTTTTTTAAAGTTATTTGGATTCTAAAATAGTAGCTAAGGGATTACAGATCTGAACTAAATGACTTTCAGAAGCAACACACAAAGTTATGTTTTTATTTATTTTTTTCTAATTTTTTTTGAAGATTTACATTTTTAAGAGCAATTTCAGGTTCACAGCAAAATTCAGCAAAGGTGCAGAGCTTTCCCATGCCCCACCACATGCATAGCCTCTCTCATTACCAACATCCCCAAGCAAAGTGGTACATTTGTTACAATTGATGAACCTACACTGACACATTATAGTCATCCAAAGTCCATAGTTTACTTTAGGGTTCACTCTTGGTGTTGTACTTCTGTGGGTTTCAACAAATGTGTAATAACATGTATCATTACAGTATCTTACAGAGTATTTTCACTGCCCGAAAAATCCTCATTGCTCTACCTATTCATCTCTCCTCTCCCACCCCAGCATCTGGCAACAACTGATCTGATCTTTTTACTTTCTCCATAGTTTTGCCTTTTCCAGAATGTCATATAGTTGGAATCATATAACCTTTTCAGATTGACTTCTTTCTGTTGGTAACGTGCATTTAGAGTTTTCCCATGTGTTTTTATGGCCTTGATAGCTCATTCCTTGTTAGCAGTGAATAATATCCCATTGTCTGGTTGTACCAGTTTATTCATTCACCTATCAAAAGACATCTTGTTAACATAACAATAAAAAATTATTTAAAAAAAAAAAAAGACATCTTGGTTGCCTCCAAATTTTGCCAGTTATAAATCTGCAATAAACACCTAGATTTAACATGTTATAAACACGCAGGTCTTTGTGTGAATGTGTTTTCAACTCCTTTGGGTAAATACTAAGAAGCATGATTGCTGGATTATTAAGAGTATGCTTAGTTTTGTAAGAAACTCAAATTGTCTTCAAAATGGTATAGCCATTTTGCATTCTCACCCGCAGTGAATGAGAGTCCCTATTGCTCCACATCCTCCACCACCATTTGGTGTTTCAGTGGTCTGGATTTTGGCCATTCTAATAGGTGTGAGTGGTATCTTATTTCAATTTGCAATTTCCTGATGACATACGATGTGGAGCATCTTTTCATGTTTATTTGTCATCTGTTTATCTTTGGTGAGATGTCTGTTAAGCTTTTTGGCCTATGTTTTAATCAAGTTGTTTTCTTATTGTTGAGTTTTAGGAGTTCTTTTTTTTTAAGATTTTATTTATTTATTTGAGAGAGAGAGAATGAGAGATAGAGAGCATGAGAGGGAGGAGGGTCAGAGGGAGAAGCAGACTCCCCGCCGAGCAGGGAGCCCGATGTGGGACTCGATCCCGGGACTCCAGGATCATAACCTGAGCCGAAGGCAGTCGCTTAACCAACTGAGCCACCCAGGCGCCCTAGGAGTTCTTATATATTTTGGGTAACAGTCCTTTTTTAGATGTGACTTTTGCAGATATTTGCTCCCAGTCTGTGGCTTGTCTTTTCTTTCTCTTGATTATAGCCCTTTTAATTTTGTCAGTCGTGTAAGGAATTGTTACGTGCTTTCCTATGCATCTCTCTTTAAGTCCTCCCTGGGTATCAACGAATGCCTATAAGTATATGCATTGTTGTATGCAGTCATGCTTAGAGTTTACATTATTAATCCAAAATACTCAAGGACCATATAATGTGCAGAACTAGAGTGCTTCTTTGAGGGGTAAGATTGCATTGAACCCTGTTCCTCATTGATCCTTCAGTGTTTGGTTTGAGTTTTTTTGGTTTTTTAATTTTAATAATCAACAGAAATTTGAATGTTGAAGCACAGACCACATACAGCTCCATTTGGTGGGAATCTTTTTGGTTCTCTTGATGTGCAACTAATTACACTATTTTCTCATCTTACAGGACTGCTGATGGAGGAGGCTTGGTAGAAAAACACTATGTCTTCCTGAAGAGACTCTGTCAGGTGTTGTGTGCTCTGGGCAATCAACTATGTGCATTACTGGTGAGCACTTACTTTCTGGAGAGTTTCAGGGCCATTTGAACAGAGCATTTAGAAAGTTATATTTGTATAATGAGTGGAACATGCCATTAATTTTAGCCTTGTGGAGCATTGCCTTACAGGTTATTTCATACAATTTTATAGATTAAGTTATTGTAACAGGGTTTGAATGATGTAAATTTCTTTTAACAAGTCAGTTATTGATGTTAACAGGAAACATCCACATCTGTTATTCCATAAAGTCAACATTACTATTCTTGTGAATTTTGGCACTTATAGAACATCAGTTTGCTGAATGCATTATCCTTTAGAGTCCTATTAGATCATGAAATATTATGTGTTTGAATAAAAAACCCTTTTCCCAAATTTAAAGGATTGTATTATTGATCATAAAAGAAAACTTTAGTGTGATTGACCTAGAAATACCTGTCTTAAGGGAAATATTTAATAACTCATAAGTTGAGAGATAGGACATTGCTACAGACATTTGCGTCTGATGTTATGCCTTTTTATGGTGGTTTGAATGGCTAGAGAGGATAGAGCTTCAGACATATGATGTATACCATCAAGTGGTTATTTAATAGATTTGGTCACAGAGATATGAATAGACTAGGTGTGAAGAAATAATACAGATTTTTTCTTTCTGTGATTTCTGAAATGAATGCTCTTTTTCATTTTAGTATTTGACTACAGAATGAGTTTTAATGATGATGATTAAGGAGGTAAAGCACCTTTCCTCTTTTTAGCCCTTGAATTGATGCCTTCCTTAGGTCACAAGGAAGTATAAAGTCCTTTCAAAACAAATTTGTGAGGGTTTAAGTTCTGTACAGTTGACCCTTGAACGACACAGGTTTGAACTGCATGGGTCCACTTAGATACATATTTTTTGATAAATAATGCAGTTCTGTAAATGTATTTTCTTTCTTAGAATTTTCTTAATAACTTTTTTTTTTAGCTTCCTTTATTGTAAGGACACAGTATGTAATATATATATGAAATACATGTTGATCAGTTTATGTTATCGATAAGGCCTCCGGTCTGTAGGAGGCTGTTAGTTAAGTTTTGGGGGAATGAAAAGTTATGTGTGGATTTTTGACCCTTAGCCCCCGTGTTCAAGAGTCAGCTGTGTTTGTTACCCTACTCCTCCCACTATCCTCTCCCCCCCCCATCAACGTCACTGATGGAGTGGTCTTTTTGTCCCTCAGGGTGTGGATTCTGATGTAGAAACACCAGCAAACTTTGGAAAATACCTGGAATCTTTTCTTGCTTTCACAACCCATCCAAGTCAGGTAAACGTTATGTAGGCAACGTCTGAAAATTTTAGTTAGGTAAACCAAAATCAAGCACTACGGCTTGAAATAATTAGCCAGCTCAGTGTTTAAAATCCTGACTCTTAAGGCCCTAGGAAATAACTATAGTGTGATTTCGTTAAGAGAATTGTTGAGTCGTCTTCCTGAGCCAAGTGTTGCACCATCTAGGTCAACAGCTTTTTCCCTCAGGTAATATTCTGCTGATACTCAGTCAGATGTGAGGTGTGTTCTGGGTGCTTTGTTGCCAAAGGCATTTTAAATGCAAAAGTCTAATTGATTGTGTTATAAAATTAATTTCACACATTTAAGGTTTTCCTTGTAGTACCACCCTGAGATTCCCATATCCTTTTTTGCCCTTAAAGTGGTAGAGGGGTGCCTGGCTGGCTCAGTCAGTAGAGCATGCAACTCCTTTTCTCCAGGTTGTTCGAGCCCCACATTGGGCATAGAGCTTACATAGAATAAAAAAGAAGAAAAAGTGGTAGAGCTCGGCTGACACTCCAGGAATTACACCTGACCCATACTCTGTCTTAACAGACAGTCATTTCTGATAGAATACAATATGGACAGTTTCAAAGTATTATAGAGATTTATTTCCATGAAAAAATATTGTTGATAATTGCTGGGCTAAGTAATAATCTTGGTTATATAAAATCCAAATGCTTAAACTGAGGTTTTTCTTTTTTTCCGCCCCCCCACCCTCTTTAGTTTCTACGCTCTTCAACTCAAATGACTTGGGGGGCTCTTTTCCGGCATGAGATCCTATCCCGTGACCCTTTGCTATTAGCAATAATACCAAAATATCTTCGTGCTTCTATGACTAACTTGGTCAAGGTAGGCAATGGGAATCAAAATGTGGAATGGGAGTGCCTGGGTGGCTTAGTCGGTTCAGCGTCTCGATTTCAGTTCAGGTCATGATCTTAGGGTTGTGGGATCGAGCCCCACATTGGGCTCTGCGCTCAACAGGGAGTCTGCTTGGGATTCTGTTTCTCCTGCCCCTTCCCCTGCTCACTCGCTCATGCTCTCTCAGATAAATCTTAAAAAACAAAACAGGGCGGCTGCCTTCGGCTCAGGTCATGATCCCAGGGTCCTGGAATCGAGGCCCGCATCAGGCTCCCTGCTCGGCGGAGAGCCTGCTTCTCCCTCTCTCTCTGTCTGCCACTCTGCCTACTTGTGCTCTCTCTGTATCTCTGTTAAATAAATAAAAGTCTTTAAAACAAAACAAAACATGGAATGTAAGTGAATACACATAAGACTTAGATTGGCATTACTGACAGCCCATTTTGGTCACCAAGATCCCTTCGTTAGGGATTATTATTATTATTATTATTATTCTCTTATTCACCAAGAAGAAGGCAGTCCAAACTGGTTATTATATACACTTTTTCATATTTGGAGCACTTCTATACAAAGTACTAGGCTAGGTGCTAGGAAGAAGAACAAGAGCTGTGACCCATGACCATGCAGTGGGATAATGCTTTTCCCAATTTAAAAGCAGGCAGGGTGGGGCGCCTGGGTGGGTCAGGTGGTTAAGCGTCTGCCTTCGGCTCGGGTCATGATCTCAGGGTCCTGGGATCGAGCCCCACATCGGGCTCCCTGCTCAGTGGGAAGCCTGCTTCTCCTTCTCCCTCCGCTACTCCCTCTGCTTGTGCTCTCTTGCTCTCTCCGTCAAATAAATAAATAAAATCTTAAAAAAAAGAACTTGGGTGCAGGAGCTCATGCATTTCAGTCTAATAATAGTAATAGTAATAAAAGCAGGCAGGGTGGAGCCACGATTCCAAGATGAAGTCCTATGTGATTATTTGTGAAGGTCTAGTGAGGGTCTGAAGGTGAGTGAGAAGGGAGGACAGAAAGTGGAAGCAAATTGCGCACCACTTAAGTAGAATTGCTTGTGAATTCCCTGAGATCTGCTAAGGCCTCTTGCAGCTGACAGATGCTTAATCTTGATTTGTAAAAGTCAGAGAATGGCACCTATATAAGGGTCCTCTTATTTCCTCAAGGAATACACCTAGCACTTGGCACCCTGTTCTCATTCTCTGCCTTGGTCTTCAGGACTTTTTGAGTGGAACATGCAAAGTTCCATGCTTATTCCCAGGGTTCAGCATTGAAGGACACAGATCGTTCTCAATTCTTTTCTTGCTTATTGCATGCTGTATTAGCATTTTGTTTTGGGACAGGTTTATACTTAGATACCGTAAACAAATTCCAGAACTTAATTCTCCCTGAGGAATCTGGAGGAGAACATCAAATGAGTTTTCTCTTTTCTACCACTCTCGGAATTATTGGAACTAGGAGAAAACTGTGGACTTGGGGTAGACCAGAAGCAGTTATTTATTATAGATGATCTCATGCAAACCCTTAACTCTTCTTAAATTAAAAAGTGCTTGAGCTCCTAGAGTTTAAACCTCTTTGGGTAGGTCTGTTTTTTTCCCCTACCCAAATTATCTTTCTCTTTGCAGATGGGCTTTCCTTCTAAAACAGACAGCCCTAGCTGTGAATACTCTCGGTTTGATTTTGATAGTGATGAGGACTTCAATGCTTTCTTCAACTGTAAGTGATAGTAGCCTGGAATTTCTGCCAGTCATCTGAGAATGGCATCTAGTGTTAGGAATCATGGTGCCTGACCCTTAGGGTTCTATATTAAAGGGTCCAAGATCTGGACAAGCAGCCTGTTTAATCTCTAGTTTCACATTGCAGCAGGGACTGGGATAGCACTCATTCTAGATGTAGTATTCTCTCTTTGTGCGTGCGTGACACGCACACACATGCATGCGCACATACACAGCCTTTGGACTTTGGCGTTTAGGCATAGTAACTATATGTAAGGCACTTGAATTTTTTTGTACCTAGGATTAAATACTGCCTTACCTTGCTGGTCTTCTAAAAAAGGAAAATCCCACATTCTGATAACCTAATTCTGTTCAGGGTTTTTTGTAGTCTGGCTGGTCCCCCCTTCCTTTTTTTTAAATAACATCTTTATGAGATACAATTTGTTTACCACAGAATTCACCCATTTATAGTATTTTATAGTATATAGTAGTATATAGTTTATAGTATATAGTATAGTATTCAGTGGTTTTTTTCTATTTTCAGAGTTGTGCAACTATTGCCACAATTTGCGGACATTTTCATGACCCCAAGAATCCCTGTCAGCCATCCCCAGTCCCCTCATCCCTCCCAGCTCCAGGCAAACCAGTAATCCACTGTTTCTACATTTCACTTACTCTGAACATTTCATATAAACAGATTATACGATATATGGTCTTTTGTAACTGTCTTCTTTCACTTAGGGTTATGTCTTTAAAATTCACCCATATTGTGGCATGTATCAGTACTTTGTTTCTTTTTATCGCCAATATTTCATTCTATGGGCATACCACATTTTATTCATCCATTTCATAAGTTGGATATTTGAGTTGTTTCTACTTCTTAGCTGTTGAGAATAATGCTGCTATTGGGGTGCCTGGCTGGCTCAGTCAGTAGAGTATACAACTCTTGATCTTGGAGTCATGAGTTCAAGCTCCTCATTGGGCCTAGAGCTTACTTAAAAAAAAAAAAAAGGGAATAATGCTGCTGTACCATTTATGTACAAGTTGAGTGGACAGACGTTTTTATTTCTCTTGGGTATATGTCTGTATTCGATCATACAGTAATGTCACGTTTAATGTTTTGAAGAACTGCCAGGTTGTTTTCCACAGCAGCCACACTGTTAACATCTGTACCAACCTAATCTTTTATTAATTCCAACAGAAATGGGAGACCGCTTTTAGTTTGCCTCTGAGAGGATTGAGCTGGTAGGGCTGCTTCCAGAGACAATTTACTTTTGAAAATTTCTGAATTTGTTAATATTTATTGAACATGTGTTACATTCAGAGCGTAAATCTGCAGAAGAGAGTTTCTTTGAACATTTTACTCCTGGGATGGATAAATGAATGAACATTAACTAAGTACCTCTTATCTGGCAGTTACTGATTTATGTCTTTCTCTTGGCAGCCTCCCGGGCCCAACAAGGAGAGGTAATGAGGTTAGCATGTCGTTTGGATCCTAAGACTAGCTTCCAGATGGCTGGGGAGTGGCTAAAGTATCAGCTGTCAACTTCTGTTGATACTGGATCCATGAACTGTAAGGTTTTTTTTAATTTCTAAACATTAGTGAAGTATTATATCAAATATACCTAGGAAATAAGCCTTGTAAGCCACACTTCAGAACAGCATGCTAAAAAGCATTCGAAAATGATCTGTTTAAATTGGGGTAAAATCATGTCCCTGTCAGTCTTGCCCTCATTTTTCTTCCCTAACAGAATGAACCAGTTGCTCGTTGTTGATTATATTACTTCACTGTTGGCACCATCTTATCAAATTGCATGTCTAGACTTTTTAAAGCTTTTCTACCAAATTCTCACATAGAACCACTCCTAAACTTAGAAAGAATGCCTTGTTAACAAGTCAGGCATAATAGGAGCACTACAGGGACTTTCTCTTTCACTCAGCCACCTCAAAGCCTTTGGAAATGCTGCTTTGTACAAAATCAAAATAACACTTCTGTACCAAATGCATAAGCCAGGTAACTTCTCTGTACTGCATCTGTCTATTGTCTTATTAATTAATGCATGCTGTGGGTGACAGGATTTAATATAACAGGAGAAGGTATAAGTCACTCCTTTAGAAAGGCTCCATATTTATGGTCAGTTACCAGCTATACTAATTACTTGGCATTCATAGGATTTAACATTTTGTTTTGGGTATTCATAACTGACTCTAAAGGTCCATGGTATCTGGTAATTTGAATGTTTGTGGAGGCCCACATACGTTGCACCAAGGTAAAGCTAGTAAATGGGAGCACTATATGGAAGGAAGAAAAGTAATTCATAAATCCTTTTGCCTGTGCCTTGCTGTTTGAGTGATGGGCTTTGCTGATACTTACGAACTTGAAGGGTGGCACAGTTCTCTAGAACTTGCAGTTGTCATGAAGCTACTGGATATGAAGTAGCATTTTGTTATCTTATGTCGGGTTTTGTTTCTGTTTTTTTTTGAAAGGATTCTTTATGGTCTCTATCTTAATTATTTAGATTTTCATGGACAGGTTATAAAGGAGAGGAAGGGAGAGATTAATTGATATTTATCAATTGCCTGTGTTTCTTGATGCTTACATGTGTATTCTCATTCAATATTCAGAATCGTTTTACAGGTAGGACTCACAGAGGGAATTCTGACAGCTCATTGTTAGAGGTAGAGGCAGGATAGGCCCCTCATCTGTTTTAGTTCTTTTCTTTCCCTCAGGCTGAGACGGATTAGATTATCCTAGTCCTTCAACTGTGAACTTAAGTGATCTCTAAGTCCCCACTAAGTCCCCATTGTCTCTGTATCTTCTGTGATCCTGCAGTTGTTTGTGTGTGTGTTTATGTTTGTGTTTTAAAACCCTGTTCTCCTGCAGCTGGAACTGGAGAAGGCGGCCTCTGCTCCATCTTTTCATCTTCATTCGTGCAGTGGGAAGCCATGACTTTTTTTTTGGAAAGTGTGGTCAACCAGATGTTTCGGACACTAGATAAAGAAGTAAGTAACTGTTTCCTGTACTCATTGCATAATGATTTTGATCTTTTTTTTTTTTTTAAGATTTTATTTATTTATTTGACAGAGAGAGACGCACAGCGAGAGAGGGAACACAAGCAGGGGGAGTGGGAGAGGGAGAAGCAGGCTTCCTGCTGAGCAAGGAGCCCGATGTGGGCTCAATCCCAGGACCCTGGGATCATGACCTGAGCCGAAGGCAGACGCCCAACCGACTGAGCCACCCAGGCACCCCGATTTTGATCTTTTTAAAACTGACAGAGGGATAGGAAAATCTGTGGATATGCGTCTCACAGAGGAGGAAATAGAAAATCAGAGAGGTTAAATAACATACTCAAGTTCAAATTGCAGGTCTGACTCTAAGCCTACAGTGGTCAGTATTCATTTTAAGCGGATAATAAGATAAGCCTGTTCATATAGTGAAGCACAGGTAGAACAACTTTTGCAGGGAGGACAGCGGTGGTAATCTTGAGTTGGAAAATCTTTGGAGATGTTTGCCATTATTAAGCATCCTTTTCAGTTTATGGCAGATAGACCCAATATTCATGTTAGCTGATCCGTGTCCTCTTCCCTGAATAATCTGAATAAAGTGGTCTTATTTTTGTATGCTTCATGTGACCTATTACCCTTCTCTTATCTACCCTAGATGGAGCTGTAATTAATTGGGTTAAAATCATTGGACCGCTCGTTTCAGGGTGATTACATCTTAGTATATTCCAGGTTAGTTGTAGGAAAAATCTAAATCCCTTGAAGATAAGTGGGATACAGTGCCTTTCCTCACAAAAGGCATATTAACAAATTAGATCTTAGAGTCACTAACTTCATCTGCTTATATATTGATTTGAGTTTGAAATGATGGTATTCAGAGTTTGTTCCAAAATTTAGGTAGGAAACCCTACTTGGATCCTGCATTTTTTACTAAATGAGCCCTTTTTCAGGTTTAAGTGGGACTATCTAATCAAGAAAGCCCTTTATTGAATCAAGGGAAATGGCCCTGGGGTTTCTTTTCCTGACATTTTTTAAGTTAGACAGCTTGATAGATCCAAATACTTGGATATGATGCTGTTAGAAAGCAAGAGAATGAAATGGTCAGGATTTGTCAGGTGTTTGTCTTTAAAACGTACGAAAGGACTGGCAGTATTGCGGGGGGTGGGGGGTGCCTAGTTGGTTGTAGGCTGGATTATATGATATATCCTTGAATATGATGGTATTTGGTCAAAATGCAAAATATTAGTTGGTCAGAAGGTACAAAAAGTTTGGATTGTATATAAGAGAAAGATGTGGGCTGGAGACAAAGCAAAGGTAACAATTAGAAACTGAGTAGGAGTCAGAATAATTGGTGGGAGAAAAACAGTAGAACGAAATTCTTTTTTCCTCAGGAGAATCCTAGATTGTAGTATTTAGGCTTCTGTTAGTGACTTAAAGTAAACCTCTGACTCTCAAACCATTTTTCTTCACCAAAATTAAATGGGTTAGAATGAAGCATTCCTAATCAAGAGAAGTGAGTTTTTGGTGAATGTATATATGATGAAATTATTCACTACTTGTTAAGGAAGCTGTAACACTTTATATGTCCCAGGAGTGTGCAAGTGACAGAACTCAGCCTGTCACATTCCCACTTGCTGCTCTCAGTTTCTGACTCTGCATAGTATTGTCTAGTCCAGCAGTCTTGCACACTGCTCACTCAGCACCCTCAGTGTCCACCCTCACCCAGGGTCTGTCAGCAGCTCAGCTGGTAGCCTGTGAAAGAGTTTGACCAAGAGGTTCTTTGGCTAAAAGAGGTTTTTGTTTTGTTTTGTTTTGTTTTGTTTTTAAGATGTTATTTATTTATTTGAGAAAGAAAGAAGGCACACAGAGGGGGAGAGAGAGAAGCAGGCTCCCCGCTGAGCAGGGAGCCCGATGTAGGGCTCAATCCTAGGACCTTGGGATCATGACCTGAGCCAAAGACAGACACTTAACCAACTGAGCCACCCAGGCATCCCTTAAGATTTTATTTATTTGAGAGAGAGAGAGGGAGCACGAGTTGGGGGAGGGGCAGAGGGACAAGCAGAGTCTCCAATGAGCAGGGAACCCAACATGGAGCTCGATCCCAGGACCCTGAGATCATGACCTGCGCTGAAGTCAGACACTTAACTGACTGAGCCACCTAGGCTCCCACTAAGAGTTTTTTGAAAACCCATTTCTCTCATTTGTAGTGGCATGAGCTGAGCTGCTAGCTTATATTTCCAGAAGACTTACTTTAACAATGGATTAATACAGGGAATAGCTTTGGAGGGGGAAAGAAATCACATTTTGAAGAAGACGAGGATTGATTTGCCTCAAATAGCAAGATATGAAGCTATGATATTTTATAGGCAGTGTGGTACTGACATTAGATGCAGCTCATTGGGACAAAATAGCCCAGAAACAACCTGGAGCATATATAAGCATCCAAAGAAATCGAGAAGGATTGGATCATTTAATAAATAGCATTAGGGAAAATTAACTGAGGAAAGGTCCCTATGTCTAAAAACAATGGAAGTAATCACAAAAAAGTGAATGGGTTTAACTACTTTTTTTTAAAACATATAAAATAAACTTTGAAAGGCAAACTTGGAACAATATTTGCAATAAATATGATGGGATTAATATTCTTACTATAAAAACTTGTATTTCCTAAACAGTGCTTTTTGAGTACAATTGATGTCACAACTTGGGAGACTAATTTGACAACATCTAGTTGAAGATGCTTAGCCTTAAAACCCAGCAACTGCACTTCTAAGTCTGTACTCTGAAGAAACCCCTGCATATGCACTGAGCAACCAACATTCTATAGAATCCTTATGTGTTGAGCCAGTGAAAAAACTTAATAACCTTCTGTAGATTGTACAGAATAGATGATAATATGTTTATAGAGCAGTGAAGGGGAACTAGGATATACTCTGAATAAGTATGAGTCTCATAAACATGATGGTGACCCCAAACAGCAAGCTACAAAAATAAACATACACAATTCTGTGTAATCAGGAATATGTACATATGTGGCAGAAGTATACAGAAATGATGGAGTCCTTGAAATTGTGAGCATCAAATTCAGGATAGTGGCCACCTCTAGGTCTGAAGAGGCGGGTACATACACAAAGCAACCACTCTGTTGGTAACATTGTATATCTCAAAGTGGTCACATGGAGAGTTAAAGTATTACTTACACCTTTCTAAAGGTCTAGAATATTTTGCAATAAGAGTTTTTTCTTTATAAATTAATAAAAACACTAGAACCCAGTGGAGAAAGAGACAAAAGATGAGATTTATATAGAGAAGAGAAACTAAAGTAGTTAATAAATATGAAAAAAAATTCAGTCCTCATTAGTAATTGAAGAAATGCAAATTTAAATAAACTCATTATTTAACTTACTGCAAAGGTTTTAGGGAATAAACTCAAAATTGCTGCTGAGAACATGGTAAGAAGGGCATATATTGGTGGTCAGAGAATCAATTGATACAGCCTGTAAAGAAGAAAAACAATTTGAGAAATATTCATACCTTTTGATTCAGTAATTCCAGCTGTCCCTGTCCCCAAAAGTCTCTACCTCAAATGAGGTAATGGAAAATGTAGCCAAAAAATTTTTGCCAAGATGTATTAGCACTATTGGTAATAGGTAAAGAACTAATAACATTCTCAATTTCTAGTAGTAGGAAGAGCTACATCCTTAAGATGGCACATGGTAGCATCATTTAGGAAAAGTTTTAATAACATGGGGTAAGGGGCTTGGAATTTTCAGGTTAAAAAGCAGTATATAAAACCGTATGTGGCAACCGTATTGCATATTTATAAACCAAATCCTAAAGGAAGTTTTACCGAAAGTGCTCATCAGCCACGTCAACATCCTTTTTTCATTGTCTGTATTACAGGCAGTTCCTGTTAATGATGGAATAGAGCTGTTGCAAATGGTCCTGAACTTTGACACCAAGGATCCTCTCATCCTGTCCTGTGTCCTCACTAATGTCTCAGCACTCTTTCCATTTGTCACCTACAGACCAGAGTTCCTGCCCCAGGTCTTCTCTAAGGTAAATTCCATCTCCTTTGTAAACTTTGGGTATTTTTGAACTAATTATTTTTTGTGATTGTTTTTGAGACAAGCTGATAAACAGTCATTCACTCATTCATCAACTATTCAGTACTTACTGTGGATCAGCCTTACTTAACCCTTCAGGCGTTCTGTTTGGAAATAAAATTACATAAACAGTTGTTGTACCCATGTGGCATTATAATTAATAGACGAGTATCCTGAGAAGCGGAAAAGAATACCTAAAAAGGGTATCAGTGTGCTCTCAGTTTATTCAAAGGGGATTTGTAAGAGGAATGGTTAGTGTGGACGGTTTTTGGGTTTCCAGTTTAGGTGAGTAGTAGAAAACTACCTGAGTGAGAATAGTGGAATCGGTAAGAATGAGGAGGGAGGGATGAGTTCAGTTTGGGAATACTACATTTGAAGTGTATGCAGAACATCTACGAGAAGATACTTCACAATAAATTGGCTATTTGAGATTAAAGGTCTAGAGTCTGGAAAATTACAATATTAAGGTGGCATCATCATAGAAGTGCTTAGAGCAGAGATGAAGCCCTAGGAAAGAGGGTGACGTGTATGTAGAGTTAAGACATGTGGCTCAAGCAGGGAACCCTGGGGATTATCATCATAGGAGCGAGGGGCAAAGAATGAGAATTCCCCAAAGAAGAATAAAGATATAGCCAGAGAAATGAGAAAATGTGTTACAGAGGTCAGTAGAACTTCAAAAAGGTAGACTCATTGGTTGCAACAGAAATTCTCTAAGAACTGGGGAATATCTATTGGGTTTCTTTCTTTTTTTTTTTTTTTAAGATTTTACTTATGAGAGAAAGAGTGCACGGGCGGAGGGGCAGAGGGAGGGAGAAGCAGACTTAGCAGAGAGCTCAACGAGGGGCTTGATTCAGGACCCTGAGATCATGACCTGAGCTGACGGCAGACGCTTAACCAACTGAGCCACCCAGGCGTCCCTCCATTGGGTTTCTTGATTAGACCTTTGTTAGAGTATAATTCTATCCTGGTGACTAGCACAGTAGTCACACTGTATTAGGTAAAAAAGTGCGTGAGAAGTGACACAGTGGAACCAGAGAGGGTATCACTGTGGCTGAGTGTTTGGCTGATGGTTTGGATTGTTCGGGGATTCTGTGACCTCCGCCTTTGTAAAATGTTTGATGGTAAAGTTGTGAATCTCAAGCCTCTTGTAGAGTTCTCTGAGAAAATGAGCATCTGAAACTTCGTAACACCAATTGAAAACCTTTTCGTTAGTATATTGTTTACACTTTCGAGATTTTGTTGGAAACTTGATGCAAGCTACTATTTAAAAGCATTTTCTGCATTTGGTCCTGATGAGTGACTTTTTCTTTCTTACCCTTAGCTATTTTCATCTGTCACTTTTGAAACTGTTGAAGAAAGTAAGGTAAGACCATTAAATCAACCAACAAATCCTAACTTCTGGAGAGTAAAAGTACGAATGCCTAATACCTAAGTCTAGATTTTTTTTTATAGGTAGAAGGGGTTAGTAACGGCGGGAGATGGTCATATGTTACAGTGTTTTGTACCAGAGATATTCTAAGTCGAAAACAGTGAACATGTGTTTTCATGGTGACTATAAATGTCACTCCATTAAACTCCCACGTTGTGAAAATTGTGAATTTGCCTCTGAAGGAAGTATTTTATGTGTTCTATGCAGCATCTGTAAGTTTTATTAAAAGTGGCTCCGGGTTTGTTGACTATGTCTTCCCAGGCCCCCAGAACCCGGGCAGTGAGAAATGTGAGGAGACACGCTTGTTCGTCCATCATCAAGACTTGTCGTGACTACCCCCAGCTCGTACTGGTAAGCTGCTGGCCTCTAACCAAGTAGCCACTGAGACCTGTCGAGTTTAGTTACATTCCTCTGTAAATCCAGCCCTAATTATACCTCAAGTAAATAGAAAACAAGGAACTGTAGCTTTGCTTCAAATAAGCATTCTTGAGTTGGTGCCTTCTTCCTCTCCTACTTAGTAGTGGAATTAAAAATGCAAATATATTCCCTCAAAATGAGTAGTTCTTTTCCATGTAGATGACCAAGTTTTTCCTGTCAGTGTACACATCTTTCCTATTTGATGTTTACTGCCAAATGGTGTGCCTAATCTTGAGAGAAGCCAGATGCAAATCCCAACCTTTTTTGGGGGGTTTCTATAGGAAATTTAGCACTATTCCAGATTAGAAATTAGCCAAAAATTTCTTCTCTGAATACAGAGCAGTTACGTGTGTCCCTGACATATATAAACTAATCTTTGTCTGTGAATATACTATAAAATAGAAGTAGAAAAAAAGACCTATTGTTTTCACAGCTGTAGCATGGGAAAGTACAATTACCCAAACACCCGAGACAAGAACCACCTTCTGCCTAAATTGCCTTACTTGTTCAGGCAGAAGAACAATGTTATAACTAAATTACTTAAGTGACAGTCTTATAGGCCTGACCTTCCTAGGAATGCCTTGATTCTCTCTCCACCTTCCTTGAGTGACCCACCTCTCCTTAAAAAACAGACCTTCACCACCTTTGGGTTTTTTTCTTTGTAATCTGCAGCCCAATTTTGACATGCTTTATAACCATGTGAAGCAACTCCTCTCCAATGAGTTACTCTTGACACAAATGGAGAAGTGTGCCCTCATGGAAGCCCTGGTTCTCATTAGCAACCAATTCAAGAACTACGAGCGTCAGAAGGTGTTCCTAGAGGAGCTGATGGCACCAGTGGCCAGCATCTGGCTTTCTGAAGACATGCACAGGTTAGAGGAGAGCCTTTGCGCCAGACCCTCACTGCACCGGGGCACCCCTTCTGTATTTGAAGAGCTGTGCCCCGGGTGGCAGTGTAAGGATATCACAGTGTGATGGCCCCATCGGTGACATCTGAAGTTCTCCAAAAGCAGTCTTTTATTCTAATTGCTGAGACTATCATCTTGCGGTCCGAGGTGTAGGGAGAGGGAAGAAATGAGTAAAGATGGGCAGTATGGTTGGGAGGCCACAGAGTGCCTGCAGTGTCTGTATTGTAGCACCAGCCCACATAGAGACGTGAGAACAGCCAGGAGGGGCCACACACTCACTGTGTCCATGTAGCATTCTCCAGCCTGCTCTCCAGTCCCTTTTGCTAATGACATTTATATAGCATTCTCCAGCCTGCTCTCCAGTCCTTTTTGCTAATGACATTTCAGAAGTGGGAAGAGAAGTTTCAGCCTTCAAATGATAGCAGACAGTATGATTAAATTCCTCTCACCGTAACGAGTGCTCTTTGGGGCCAAATAACCATAGCTTATTAGCTTTTGTGGAAGAAACCGTCTGTGCTTCGAATCATGGTATGACTCGTCTTTCCCACTCCAACCTTCAGAGTGCTGTCAGATGCTGATGCTTTTATTGCCTATGTGGGCGCCGATCGGAAGAGCTGTGACCCAGGCCCAGAGGATCCCTGTGGTCTAAACCGCGCACGAGTGAGTAAGCCTCTCCTGGGAATGGGGCACTGCAGTGGCCACAGGTAGGAGGAGGGTGTTACCATGGGTAGATCTCTTACAGCTTTACGTTTTTCCTGCGTGCGTGAGGAATCTGGGAGTCTCCACTTCCCTAAGTTTCTCCTTTCTTTTCTTTAGTCTTGAATTCTTGAGTTAGTTCCCACAGCAGAGCAGATGGTCTTTTCGAAGTCATTATTTTGGCTTTAAGGATCCCTAAATAGCTCTGAAGACTGAAGGTATAATTAGGAATTGGGTCAGCAGTGTGCGTCCTTCCTGCCATGGCTGTCTGGCATGTAGTGTCCTAAAGGTGGCCTAACTTGTAAACCTGAGATTCTTCAGTTCTGTGCTATTTACCTAAGTATTCTTCCTGGCTCCAGTATGGCAGAAGTCTTACTGATTAACCTGGCGGGTAGTAGGCTGGTTGAGAGTACCATGAGTGAGGATTAGGACAAGAGGGGTCAAGGCCCAAGCTGGAGGGTCCAAGGTCAGCCAAAAACAAGATGAAATGTTGGCGGTCTAAGCATTTGGTTGTGAAGCAGCGTCCAGGCCACCTTTTCATTGGGATCCTCCAAGAGGGTCACTGCAGCCCTTGGAAGGACAGCCTCATGTAAAGGAAACTTCAAGAGCCTACCCCTGGTGCTGAAGATGGCAATGAAAGGACCCCTCTTAGACTGACCCTAAAAGAAGGAACAGGATGGGGCGGGGTCTTTTCCTTCTCTCTGGCCTGTGGTATCATATTTGCTGTAACCTTGCATATGTGTAATAACACTTTTGATTTTTCTTCCTCTTTACGTTTACCTTTTGTTCTACGTTTTTCTGTAGATGAGCTTTTGTGTATATAGCATTCTGGGTGTTGTGAAACGAACTTGCTGGCCCACTGACCTAGAAGAGGCCAAAGCTGGGGGATTTGTGGTGGGTTATACACCCAGTGGAAATCCAGTCTTCCGTAACCCCTGCACAGAACAGATTCTGAAACTTCTTGACAATTTGCTTGCTCTTATAAGGTGAGTCGGAATAATGGGTTTTCTGTTGTTTTATTTTTTTTACCTTAAGAATCTCAAAAGTGTAATCTGTTGTTATTTCTTCAGGTCACGGTGGTTAGTAAATGAGGGATTAGTGCTTGTTTCTTTCTTGACTGGGGTCCCTTTTTTTAAAAATAACAGTAGTTCTCACTCCCGTAAGTCTTGCGTTCCAAGTGAACACATGACGACTGATCCCCAAATGGCTTTTCTCATTTGGAGCCTCTTCTCTATGTTCCTCCCCTACTTCCTTATATGTTATCCCTACTTTTTACTTTAGGTTTTATTTGTCCAAACTTTTGCCACTAAAGGAGTTGTTCATTGGGAGCAGGACAGTTGCTTTCTTAGTGGTGCTTCTCTGATATTCAGATGAGCTCATCTGAATTTATCAATAACAACTCTACCTGCCAATGGACCAGACATGCAGTGGCTGATCATGCCCAAGGAAGGCATGATACGTGTTCCACCTCTGTTTCTTAGGTCTTTAATTCTCAAAGCTGAGTCCTCAGACCAGCAGCAGCAGTCACCTAAGAGCTTGTTTGAAATGCAGAGTCGGAACCCCACCCCAGACATACTAGTTCAGAATCTGCATTTTTAACAAGATCTCCAGGTGGTTTCTGCTTACATTAAAGGTTCAGAGTCACTGTTACAAATCACATGAACTAATGTATTCAAGTGGAAGTGGGCCAGGCCTACTCTTGTTCGTTACCTGAGGTGTTTGATGATTCAGGGACACACTACAGAGAAAAGTAGGCAGTGGCTAGAATTTAGTTCTTACTGGCCAAAGCAAGGTTTGATTGTTTTTTATTTCATTTATTTATTTTTTTAAAGATTTTATTCACTTATTTTGAGAGAGAGCGAGTGAGCAAGCAGGGGAAGGGGCAGAAGGAGAGGGAGAAGCAGCCTCCCCGAGGAGCAGGGAGCCCAACTCGAGACTTCTTCCCGGGACCCTGGGATCATGACCTGCGCCGAAGGCAGGCACTTGACTGAGCCACCCAGGCGCCCCTTGATTCTTTTTTAGCTCTCATAGTATTTCTGAGTTACAGGCTAGAGCTCTGTTCCAGTGGGTTTTGGCCTCTTACTCAGGGTGGAAGAGCAGCATCTCAACTGGGCAAACCAAATTACTCATGTCCCTGGGACGCTGTACTAGAAGCAGACTCCCTAGATCATCAGCTTAAGAATCCAAGGGTTTAAGTTAAGGTTGACCAAATTGGAGAGCTGGAGTGTCTGCAAGAGTGGTCACTGGGGATCTGTGGAAAAAGGCCTTATTTCGTTCTGATTTCAAAAGGAAGAAAGACAGGGGCGTCTGGGTGGCTCAGTCGTTAAGCGTCTGCCTTCGGCACAGGTCATGACCCCAGGGTCCTGGGATCGAGCCCCACATCGGGTTCCTTGCTCGGCGGGAAGCCTGCTTCTCCGTCTCCCACTCTTCCTGCTTGTGTTCCTTCTCTCACTGTGTCTCTCTCTGTCAAATGAATAAATAAGATCTTTAAAAAAAAAGAAGAAGAAAGACATTTCAATAAAGAAGCAGGGTTTGCATATTGAGAGGGTAGTAAATATTGATGTTTTTAAAACCAGAAGGTTCTTCTGTAGCTTAGAGAAAAGTGTAAGTGATGGAGTCAGGTAGCAACATACTGTCTTTTTAGGCTTGTGGTCAGAGTCCATGTGGTGGGAACCCAGACCTGGAAAGAAAGTTCATTCCTGGTTGGGCGAAACCACAAGAATGGTATGGTTGCCATCTTGTTACTTTCCTAAGAGTTCAGTGTTTCTGGAAAATCCCGAAGTCAATCAGAAGATATTTTGAAAAATGTTCACCAGTTATGGAGCAGTTTGATTCTTTATATAACGTACATCTGGAGCTATTAGAGTTTTGTCTTGTTTTTATAGTAACTTTCATCTTGAAGTATAATGTAAGGGCACAAATAGATCTAAGGAAAGGACAGGAATGATGAGTGCATGGAGCTGAATTTTCGCAAAGGAGACACATCCCTGCGATCAGCACCCAGATCAACAAACAACCTTAGCAAACACCTCTTTCAAGTCATTACCTGCCCCTTAGGGGTAACCACTGTTCTGACCTTTCCACATTTTGCGTGGTTTTCTGAGTTTTAATAAATGTAGTCAGAAGCATGTATGCCTTCATGTCTGGCTTCTCTTGCTCAATAATAGGTTTGCGAGAGTCATCCAAGTTCTTGCGTGTCGTGGTTTGTTCATTCGCATTGCTGGCATGGTAGTCTGTTGTGTAATTACTCGGTCACTTACTTATTCATTTAGAATTGGTGGACTTCTCAGTAGTTTCCAGCATTTTATTGTTACAGATAGTGCAGTCATGCTGCTGATAGCATTCTTGTAAATGTCTTCTGGGGCATGCATAATTTCTGCTGGGTTGGAATAGAATCCTACACATAAGGGTAGAATTCTTGGTTCATGAGGTACGTCTATTTTCCGTTTTACAGATAGGACCAAATAGTTTTCTAAAGTGGTGTACTAATTTACATTCCCAGCAGTTGGGTATTGGAGCTGTGAGTTTTAACTCCTTGTCAAATAGTCTGATAACACAAGCCACATGTGGCTGGCTATCAAGCACTTGAAATGTGACTAGTTTGAAATGAGATAAGCTGTAAGTGTAAAATACACATTAGATTTCAAAAACTTAGGGCGCCTGGGTGGCTCAGTTGGTTAAGTGACTGCCTTCGGCTCAGGTCATGATCCTGGAGTCCCGGGATCGAGTTCTGCATCGGGCTCCCTGCTCAGCTGGGAGTCTGCTTCTCCCTCTGACCCTCTCCCCTCTCATGCTCTCTCTCTATCTCATTCTGTCTCTTTAAAAAAAAAAAGATTTCAAAAACTTAGTACACAGAAGGAATATAAAATACCTTGTTAATAATTTTTTATATTGATGTTGAAATTTTGGGGGTTTTTTTGTTTGTTTTGCTGCATTGGGTTAAATAGAATTAATATGACCTGTTTCTTTTTGTGTTTTTTAAGCTTGGCTGGCTAGAAAATTTTATTTATTTATTTTTTAAAAGATTTTACTTATTGAGAGAGAGAGAGCGCAAATGCACACATGTGCACTCACACAGGAGCAGGGGGAGGGGCAGAGAAGCAGGCTCCCCGCCGAGCAGGGAGCCCAACGTGGGGGCTCGATCCCAGGACCCTGGGATCATGACCTGAGCTGAAGGCAGACACTTAACCGACTGAGCCACCCAGGCGCTCTGGCTAGAAAATTTTAATTGGCTTATGTGGCTTATATTATATTTCTGTTGGATAATGTTCCTAGTGGGTCAGATGGAGGACAGATGTGGGGAGCAGAACTTGGGTTCGCAAAAGGTGCATTGTCATTATTGTCTGTTTAGAAAGATAACAGCTTTTCTCTTAATTTGAAGTTTGTTACATTGTATATGTATGTCCTCCAATTTATTGAAATCTTATATGTGAACTCTTGTTTAGCGTAGTGATTATACTCAGCTGTTAATACTGAGAATATTTCACATATGTACAGATCATACAAAACTTGAAACTTTTATTACCTGGTTGTCTTTTTCTTTGCCGAGCAATAACTAGTTTTCTCTTAATGTGGAAGCACAGAACCCTGCCTTGCAAGTGTGTCAGGAAAAGTGATATTTTAGGAGCCTAAACATTACTAGGAGTTGTGGATGTCCCTGCTACAAGCTCCTGACTGGAAATCAGAGATAGTGAAACAATATATACTCTGAGTCCTCCTGCTGCTGCTTGTGAGTTAGAAATAGAGCCCCAGGGTACCACCATCTTCTGGAGCAGGAGGAGGGGAGACCATAAGGAATACAAGATTCTGTTGTAGTGTTAGGGATGTTTGATCAAGGGTGTGTTAATATTTTAAATTTATTAAATTATATTTTGAGGTCACAATCACACTTAAGGATAAAAAAACAGATAGCTTGTCTGCTCCCTGTCAAATTTAAGACTGAATTTCTTCTCAGTAAGAACTGATTTTATCAGAGATCACTTTATAGTATTAACCATCTTCCCAAACACCAAGAAATACTTAAATTAGAAACTAAAAAGATGGCAGGGGCGCCTGGGTGGCTCGTGTGGATCAAGTCCCACATCGGGCTCCCTGCTCAGCGGGGAGTCTGATTCTCCCTCTGCCCTACGCCCTGCTTGTGCACGGGCGCTTGCTCTTTCTCTCTGTCAAAAAAAGAAACTAAAAATAGATGGCAAATTGCAGTTTTTTAAAGTAAGTGGGTCCTTTTACCAAATCTTGGTCTCCACACAGCAGTGTAGGTAAAGGCTAAGGCAGAGTTTTGGATGGCCTCACAAAATAGTGAGCAAACTGAATCCAGCGGCATGATCAAGAGATTAAACACCAGGACAAGTGGAATTTAGCCCAGGGATGTAAGAGTACTTCAGCATACGAAAGTTAAGTAGTGTAATACACCGTATTAATAGAACAAAGGGGGCGCCTTGGGTGGCTCAGTCGTTAAGTGTCTGCCTTCAGCTCAGGTCATGATCCCAGGGTCCTGGGATCGAGTCCCACATCGGGCTCCCTGCTCGGCAGGAAGCCTGCTTCTCCCTCTCCCACTCCCCCTGCTTGTGTTCCCTCTCTCGCTCTGTCTCTCTGTCAAATAAATAAATAAAATCTTAAAAAAAAAAAAATAGAACAAAGGAAAAAGCCTACCTGATCATCTTGACACAGAAAAGGCATTTGACAAAAATCTAAATTTAACACCCTTTGATGATAAAAACACTCAGCAAACAACAAGTAGAAGGGAATTTGCTCAACATGAAAAATGATTTTTAGGAAAACTCCATAGCTTATATCCTACTCAGGGGTGAAAGATGGAGAGCTTTCCCCCTACCATCAGTAACATCAAGGATGCCCAATTCCAGGGCGCCTGGGTGGCTCAGTCGTTAAGCGTCTGCCTTCAGCTTAGGTCATGATCCCAGGGTCCTGAGATTGACTCCCGCATTGGGCTCCCTGCTCGGCGGGAAGCCTGCTTCTCCCTCTCCCA